ACGAAAATAATGACATGCTCTATAACTAAAGAACCTTTGTATCCAAATTAAATAAAAGTGGATTTGATCACAATCAAATACATTTCTTTTCATGAATAAAAGACCTTAAAACAAGCTAAAAATCCTTATCCAAGTGGTGAGGGTAAATAAAAGTTACCTTTCTTGGCTGTTCAGAGTATTGAGTGAGAACAAACCAATGGTTTTCATTCCGTTCCATTAAAGTTCCCATGATTTTTTAAATGTTGTGTAGCCCGAATACAAACATAACCGATGGAAAAAAGCGTTTTATTTCTATGCCAAGATAAATAATTAAAATTGCAACCGAAAGCCGGATAGTTTCAACCGAGTTTTCTGTTCACACTGAGAAGTGGTTGAAATATTTTTCGTCTCTTCAAGCTAGATATACTTGAAAACATTAACGTCAGCAGTGGCAAACGCAAAAAGAACAGAGACTTCAGCGTTTCCAATTTTTCCTGTGTGATTTGAACAAGCCTGTTAGGATCAGTTTCATGTTTTTCAGTTGAGTGTCGGAAATACTCCAGGATTGCTTTGGTTTTGCTTTACTTCGATTCGTGATTGGTCCAGAAACTTCCGCCACATTCTCAACCAATGAGATTATAGAATAAAACCAATCGTTACTGACCCACTCACGTTTTCCCGCCTTTAAAACAGTTTCTTGAGTTCTTATTGGCTCTTTGAAATATTATTTTGCTTTGATTGGTTATTGTGATTACTTTGGTTTCAGTTTCACGACACACAATCAAAATGCACTCTATACTCAAATATAAATATAACAAAATTTTCCTATTACTGTAGAGAAAATTCCGGAAAGATGTAAACAGCGATTGCAAAAATTCAATTTCTATTCCATAGAGAAAACATTATTTGCATTTTAATAATGATATGTGTTAGAACATTAACAACCGTCTGATTCGAATCTCGGCCTCTCACAAGTAACCGGGTTTATCAATGAAGAAACAAATGATAAAAATCCAAATATCTCTCTGGACCCCATTAGATTTATCCCTTGTCTACCGAAAGAAATAGAAAAAATCCTTAGCTTGCCTTGTACAACTAATTTTGTCAGTATAAAAAACCAAGGTGAATCTATCAAACGGATATGAATTGTGTTGCTTGATCGGAACGAGGTTATGATACCTTTGACGGAGAGTGGCTTGATTGCGACTGGATTTACTGGATTCAAGGCGAACCTGTCACTCCTCGGCCTTTCCAGCAAAGTTTTATCACAGTTACCGCTTTTAACCAGTACCTTGTCGCCAATGTGACTTCCAGTGGGACGGAAGGCAAAATAAAGTGTCGAGAAATACTGAGAGCAGTTCAGGAATACTTACATTTGTGTGATATTTTGTTTGATGACGACGTGTCCATAAAGGATATCTGAATATTCAGAGTTTTTGATGTAAGAAGCTTGTCTTTTAAACACGTTGTTGTAAAATTATTACCGTGAGGCCTTTGTCATTAAAAAGGTTCAAAATAGGAGATGTTACGAATCATTTCATAGTTAATTAGACACTACCATGGGGGTTATGATTTCAAGCACCTCCAGGGCGGTTGTTCAAACACAGCCTCCTCAACTTCGTTCAAAGTCTTTCTTCTATGGACCACATGTATTCTTTTATTTACTGTTGATTTTACACCATTGTTTTGCTATCACACCTTAGGGCGTAAACTAATATCAAACGACGCTAGAATGAATAAAGTTCCCATTTAAATTTTTTAAATTCTCCTAGTCGTGCAAAGCTAACGAACAATTCTTTACCAAATTTATAACAATACGTTTAATTAACCAACACGATGGCGGTTTGCGACGAGGACACGAAATTCAAGTTGACTGAGGGAAGTCGCAAGTGGTAACGATAATTTGTTGCGTGTAAGATGGAGAATCTTTCGTAAAATTATTTGACCGTGCGACAGAATTTTGTCTCTGTAACAAGTAGTTCAAATTCGACCTGGTTAAACTTTGCGCAATAATAGCAGTGATCATCTCACAAATTAAACTATTCCGATATTTTTGTTCAAGTTTTTTTTTGTAAGATTTCGAAGACGTGATTCTTGTCAGAATAGTATTGAAAGCTGATTACAAGCACAAATCTGGTTACGCGAATCGGCTCTTTGATTCATTTTCAATTCAGTGAGTGTGAAAAGTATTTCCTGAGTCGTTTGCTTTTGCTCTTCTTCGCTTAGTGATTGGTCTAGTAACTCTCAAACACTCAAATGCAAAACTCAACTCAGTGACAACCCGGTTGCTATTGTCTATGGTCGCTTCAGAGCAGTTTACTTGCCATCTGCTCTCTTTTGGACCCCTTATAAATTTTTCTCTTCGTTCCGACTGGCCGTCGTCATTGATTACTTTGGTTTTGTCTCTAATTTTTCTCAGCCAGACCACTAAGTTGAAATCGAAAGTATTGAGCAAAGTCTGCGGAATATAATGTATAATCGCCAGTTGAAGTCAGTAAATTTCCTAAGCTCGTACTATTGTTTCATTAGATGGCAAATTAAATATTACTGACAAAATACTGAAGAAATTCCAGACAATTTGTAAAACAAAATTTCTGCTTCAAGCTGATTCAACCAAATAAAACATCACAGTACACGTTGTAAAATCAAAATGAAAAAACATCAGACGAATTTTCATTCGCGTAAACGCTCTAATAGATCGCATGTTTGACGCCTTTGTATAAAAAATCCTACAATAACTAGGCCCGTCCGGATTGTGCTCGTTAAACGCCAGAAACTTGCTCACTGGGAATGCCTAAAGTTGCTAAAAAAATTGCCAAAAATCTTAAAATTGCTACTTACTTTTCAAAATTTGCGACCTAATTTTATTTATATTTTATATTGATATCGTTATTCACAACAATTGCTAACATTGGGCAAGAGAATTAGTCTGAAACCTAGCGTTAAAGAGTTGCTTGCAGTTACGGGCGATATTTAACGGAACTAAAGACGTCCTGCCGAAAGTCATTTCAGCCGGTTATCCGTTATAATATTAATATTAGATAAATATCGGAATAGGCCCGCGAAACGCTGTCAAATGATATGTTATGTGTCAGTTTTTTTTTTAATGAAATTGTCAACTTTTTCGCGCTCTAAACCTATATCCTGCTCAAAAATACCTCAGAAGGGCAAAAAATTGCTCGAAAGTGCTAAAAGTTGCTCAAAAGCTGCCAAGCACAATCGGGACAGGCCTGATAGTAAAAGGTGTGTGGGTGAACCTGTGAAAACAAAAACAATTCAAATATATGGGAGAGACAGAAACAGTTAGTTCGCGAGCGATTATATTAGCTACCCTATGTGATTGCTTGGATTCGAAAGGTTGCGAATACTCAATCTCAACAAGTGCAAGTAGGCGATTCAAACTCCACGGATTGATCGGGAAAAAAAAGAAAGCGTTCAGCATCACAGTTCGATCAGCGGGTTGACGGCAAGTAGCAGCGATCTTGTGGACCAATTGCAGACAATTGTATACTGATATATAGTTGTTCTAACTAACTAAAAAAAAATTGAACAACATTCATCGTTAAGGAATCGTACTGTAGTTCTCACATGGCTTACATATTGAAACACTTTGGAAAGATCACTTACTTTGGTTACGTTTGCACCAAGTTGTCCACACTGGCAAGAGCTATAACAGACTAAACTGCCTTCAATTCATAGATTTATAAACAGATAGAACGTGATTAGGATGCATTGGCACAGAGATGAATCTTTTCCTGACGGAAGGCTCCGTCCCAACGCATAGGATGACAATCGAAAGTCATGCTTCAGGAGTGGCGGAAAGTTTAAAGTACGCCCAGTTGAAAACATGATTGAACCTGTATTAAGCTTAATACATTTTCCACAGAATAGGGGTCAAACGCGATAAAAACGCCAATTTATACCATAACTGATCCCTTAATTTACAGTTTATTTAAAGGCTCGCTCAAAAGTGCATCGATTAATAAACAAAATCAACAAAATGGTTGCGTAACGTAAAAACACAATAACAACACAACAAAACAACAAAACTAACTTAAAGACTTGCGTGATTTTCCCACGCAACGAGGTAATTTTGTTAATTATCAACCGAGGTGATAAAGTAAATCAGCCACCGTAGTTTTCATGTTGACTTTTCGAGCGTTAACCCTTTGCCTATCGCTCTCTCGAAGGGCAAACGCTTGAAAAGTCAGCTTTTAAACTCTTTACAGTGGCCAATTTACTTTATCAACCGATTTGATAATTAAACAAATTACCCCGTTATACTCTCCCACCGACTTGATTCGTTCGCACGTGATCTTTGCCATAAAATTCCTACGGACAAAGGTAATTTTCAATGCGTTCAGGAAATATATCCGCAAAGTAAATGCATTGGTTCCGGGAGATAAACACGGGATACAATGGTGGGGAAGACAATTCAAACTGGCCTTCAGCCAAGGGTGATCACAAACGCTTGATACAGGTGAACGCCTAATGGAAGCAAAAATTACCGCACACTACAGGGGGTACGAGTATCGAGACTTACAGTCGATCGCTTAAAACATGGGTGACCGCTAAGACGTTGCTGCTTTCTGCAGACTCGACTGCATCGAGTACCTCACCTCAGAGATTTCAAATTTCCTAAGTGACTAAGCGTTTCAGAACTAAAACACGATACTCGTGGCAGTTTTTGAACCTCTAGGTAATTTTGGAACACTTTTGGGATATGACTGTGATACCAAAATCAACCCTGGTAATAAAGGTTACAAAACGCCAAAATGCCAGTGAGTCGGTTGATCAGTCAGTCAATCAGTCAGACAGCAGGCTAATATGTCAATCAGCTCGTCGATAAATCAGTCGGTAAGTAAGTCATTCCATCAATATAGGACCGATCAGTCGTTCAATCGATCAGTTAGTCATTCAGTCAGTGAGTCTATCACACAGTCAGAACTTTTTTGCGTTGCAATCAGTACTTTGTTCACCTTCTAAGTATGAATTGATCATTTCAACTAAAATTCAATATTCTCTTTGACACTTCTTTTATTCGCTTCTACTACATCCTGTACTGCTGAACAGTGTACTTAACTCGAGGGGACACAGGGTGGCTGAGATGTTAAACGCGCTGTATATTCAATTCTGGAGGTCCCAGGTTCAGATACTTAACTCCTCCAAAGTCCCAAGTCCAACTCCTCGCCTGCCCTTTGTAAACAGCCAACTCGTCGGCCTCTTGCCATTTAAGACATTTTCTATTTACGCTATTCATTTATTTACAGTGTCAATATTAGCAAAGGAACACTTGTTTTATCTTATTTGGGGGGACCCCTTTGTATTTCTAGCGATGCCTTTTCCCGGATCGTTCACTTTAAATACATTCTCTTTTTATCCAAACAGGCTCTTTTATGGGCTTCTGAGTAAAGTTTGAAGGGCACCTTACCATTTTTATAACCTTCGTTTCTTTTTGTTTTCTTTTTTCATGAAAACTTCCAGCTTTAAAATGAAATCACTGATGATTCAGTGGCGGATCTAGACCTTGAGCTAAGGGGGGGGGGGGATTTTTTTGTTGCCTGCCCTGCCGGCATTTCTTCCTTCTGCTATTCCCTTTTTTTCCCCGAAAAAGTGGGGGCCCAGGCCCCCCGGGCCCCTCCACTAGATCCGCCACTGTAATTCTAAAATAATGTTCTAGCTAAGGTCCTGTACTCTGCACAGCACTTCGGGTTTCAGGAAGACATTTTCGTCCACTCGGCCTTGTGCCGCTGCGATTTCTTTCATAACATCTGGGTCCCACTTAAAGTTCACCAAAGCAGCTGGGACCTGCACAATAAAAATAACAACACCTTAGTAAAAATGGTCTCGGTCTCCTAATAAAGAAAGATTTTGTTAACCTCTGACAAGCATGGAAAGGAATAATTTTCAGCTCCCAACGAAGGGGAGGGAAATGAAGTCGTGTTGAATGGTTTTCTTTTATCTTTGTCTTTTTGCTTTCTGTGCCTTTATCCTTTCATGTCTTTTAAAAGGGCTTTCTTCAAATCTCCAGCTTCGCACCGGGTTTCCATGAAGAAACAATTAGAGTAAAGAGCTTAAAAAGTAGGCATAATCAAATCGAACCTTTCGGAAGTGCCTTTTCTTACTTACCAGGCCTAAGTCGACCAAGGTAGCGTTTTCATCTTTCAACTGTCTACCAGCCTCAAAAAGTAGAAAAGGCTGCCAGTCGGACACAAGAGACTGCCGAATAAACTCGAAAACGTCCCGAAGTTTTTCTCTGGAATAAAATGTTCCTGTAGACGGGAGAAAAAAAAGTATAGAATACATTTGAAGTGGAACAGAGAAACCCGTGGGTTCAAAATACGCACCTTGAAGGATGATCCCATCAGGCAAACGTATCCGCACCAAAGTGAAACGGTAGGTCTTGGATGGGCGTTTCTCTGCTTCACGCATAGCTCGAGTTCTGAGCTGAGAGTTTTTCTCAACTTCCTCCGTTCTGGAGAATGATAAAACAAGAGATGATTGTGTAACATAGACAATAACGCATTTGACTCTTGTCCGTGCCGTGAGGTGGGGGTAGTGAACTCGGACCTTACCTGAGTGGTGTGGGGAATTCGAACCGGAACTGTCACATCTTTAGAGCGGAATAGACGTATTTCATCTTTTAATATGGAGGTGTTTATAAATAAAAAGTTCATTTTCGCGAGCAGAGACCCAGAAGAAGAGGTCTTAAAGAAAGCCACGGTTGCTCATCTTGCTTTTAACAAAAAAATGACAATGACGATCAACTTAGGCGGGGGAAGGGGGGGATGAGGTGGATTTGATCGAACCGATCTTCAAAAGTTCAAATGCCCTTGGGTTGCCCCAGGGGTGAATGTTGAAGCTTCCTATTGATCGACGTATGGAAATAAAATCTTGTAATTACATTCATTTGAATACCCTTTGTGTAAGAAATTGCCTGAGTACTTAGTTTGTTCAATAATTGATACATGCAGTTCTAAAACCCTTCATTGTAGCAGCTTCGCAGGCCGTTCCCAGCCAGACAAACGATCCACGAGCTAAGGGAAATTAGTTTCTATAGAAACTGTGGCGCTACGTCAGTGGGAAAGTACAACAAGGTTTTTTAGTATTAACTGAGTTGATAGAGTAAATTGGCCACCGTAAAGAATTTAAAAGCTGACGTTTCGAGCGTTAGCCCATTGTCAAAGCGAATGACGAATGGCTAACGCTCGAAACGTCAGCATTGAAACTCTTAACGGTAGCCAATTTACGTTATCAGCTCAGTTGGTAATACTAAATTACCCAATCTACGAATTTTCTGACTTGAAGACCAATAGGCAACCAGATGGCTGTCTTTTCAAAGGATCAGTAGTGAAACTTATGTTACCTTGCCATCTGTTCACTTTTGACCTCTTCAGCTGTCTTGTTAAAGAAATCCCAGGGGACCTCAAAATGACGTGCTTGGCTGCTTGGCTTGTAAACCTACAAGGGTGAAAACACCAAACAAAACAAACTTACAAACATAAACAAAAAAAAAAAAAAAAAAAAAAAAAAAAATAAAAAGAAATTGAGAAGGATATAATGTAAGACAATCATTGAAACCTGACAGAAATTATTGTGTTTTACTCAATTCATATCAGCTTCTCTTTCAATTTCTTTTTGAGTGTAACTTGATTTTTTTACGTTATAGTTCATAAACACCAAATGATACCTGCCAGTATTCTTATGATTTCTGAGCCACTAATCCACATTTCAAACTATTTCCATGTAAGCTAAAATCATGTTCATTATACACGTGCATCTTCATCTTTCACTCATACAAACTGCATCTCTTTGCAGAAACAGGCATCATTTAACCCCTAAGAATGACTAGCATCTAATTTCCTTTTAAAATACCACCCGCGAATCACACAGTAACATAATGAGAATAAAGGAAATGATCACCAGCTAAAGAAGCTGTTGTCTGTGAAACAAATTCTCCTCGTTGGCTCTTAAGGAATATATAGAGAACAGTATGGAGAATATTTATACTGATGTTAGGTGTAAAGGGTTAATATGATCAAAGAAACAACATACCTTTAAGCAACGATCCAGTTTTGCCTTCAAAGCTTCACTTGACGTCAATATCTCTTTGTACACATTTAACTGTTCACAGTCAGAACGCTCCTTTGGCAAAACATAAAACTTTTCTGCTGAATCTGCTAAAGAAGAAATAATAAAAAAATATAGTATAATTAATAAAAAAATTTAAAGAGAACTTTATCATATCATAAATATACTTTCCTCTGACCTGACTGCTAGCTGTGGAACACAACTAATGAACCACCTGATCAGAAGATGTAACATGACCACTGACCCAATAAGTCATATTACTCACTTGAAACTCAAAACCCACTGAAAAAGCAAGCTGAATATAGTACACACAATAGGTGGCCAAGGAAAGTAATTCATCACCAACTTCTACAGGTGACAGGTTTGTTTTACAGATTGAGTTTGTCATAAGAAATCCTTCATGTTTTCATTTACCTTCTACTGGGAGAACTTTGTCTTCAAATCCACAGGCAAGAAGGAATTCAGTGGCACCTTTAATGGGCACTACACGTTCCTTGGTAAAAAAAATCAAAAGTAAGAACTTTAAGGGACTGTATTTACATGATTGGGAGTAAATTACATCATATGGCATTGCCCTACAGAGTAAACTACATTGTACCATGCAGTTATATTAAACTGAGATACAAATGAAACATATGCAACTCATGAATTAAAACATGCCTTTAAGTCTTACCTGGAATATTTTGTTGCTTTGCTTTACTTTTCTATATTTTTCCTCTTCTGGATTCTTGCAGATATTATCAAGGTATCTAATAGAGCATGATTCATGGAAGAGTCATAATCATTGACATAAATTGAGTTTAAGATAATTAATTTCAATCATTTAGTTCAGTTGACTTTCAAACAAGTTTAAAGTATATTTGAAACAAAAACAAATTCATACCTACAGATCAGGTCAATGCAGGCTTTAACCTTTTCTTTATCCTTGTTTAGGGTGTGTATCATGGAACATGAGGTTGTCAGTGGTTCATCAGGATATTGCTGAAGAAAAGAATGAAATTTTATCATCATGATGTATACAGGACTAACTGACTGTATAATCTACCTCGGAGGTAAATTATTCAGTCAGACTTTCAATCTGTCAATCTTTATTTAATCACTCCTTACATCTACAAAATTAACCTTTAATCAATCAATTAAGTAATATATTTATCAGTTGATATAAATTGTCATTTAGTTTGTCAGTAAGTCAGTCAATCATTCAAGATGATTTTGTTTTTCATATGAGTTGATAACTTAAACTATCCATTGTAAAGAGTTTTTAAAGTTGAGCCTTTGAGCATTAGCCCTTTATTAGAATGAGTCATGAAGGGCTCTGACAAAGGGAAAATGCTGGCAATGTCAGCTTAAGAACTGTTCATACTGTATACTTTCTTTTTAGGTTATCAACTCAGTTGATAAGACTGAGTTATCTTGAAATAACCCCAATAGTGCAGCAAAATGATCCTTGAGAAACTAGCCTCCTTTATTCAATAGTCAATTAGCCATGCAGTTAGTTAGTCATTCCATCTTTCAGGCATGAAGTAAGACAAACAACCAGTCTGTAATTAAACCAACAGTTCTATGATTCTAAAATGAAATAAAATACCTTAGAGAGACATTCTGACATATGTGCATCTAGTTCACTTTTTAAAACTGTAATTGGACACACTGGGCAAGAAAAATACACTCCTTCTTGAGACCGCACAGTTGAACATTCTACATGTGTTGGCTGAGGAAATAAAAAGACAGGTGAGAGTAAACTTATTTTCTCAAACTACTGATGGTTCTCTTTTGTTTCTGTTTCAAAGATCTACCAACTTAAGTTTTTCAACCATAGAAATGCATATTATGTGATGGTATTTGTTGAAGCCAACCAACAATTGAGAAAAAAAAAATCAGTAACTCAGCGAGTTTATAATAAGCCACCCACTTCAATTAGACCTACTTCCCAATAGACTCCAGTCTATAAACACTGAAGAGAATTTCAAGTTTCCTGGCAATTTTATGAAAGGTGTAATGGCACAAAATTCACCTCAGCAGTAGATTGAACCTCTCTCTGAAGGTCTCTTTGATGACAGGCTTCTTGATATGCCAACTCCTGTCTCACTGAAAAGATACCAATCCATGTAATTTAAAGGTAATTGTGATGAATAACTTAGTGAAAAAACCTCTTGGTTGTCTAAATAGTAATAATTTTTGTATGGGCCAGCTGGTAACCTGTCAGTAACCTATTGAAGATATGCTAGCAGCCTGCATTATCTGTCAGCTGACAGTTGGTTGACAGTCAGTAGACAGGAGCTGTTCTTCCCAATTATCAATTTACAAAGGCCTTTTCACAAAATCAGTGGTATTGATGTGCTCAAAATTACTTTGTCTGGTTTTATGTAAAATCCTATGAGCACTTGTTACAAGCCTCTTTGTAGCTACTTCTCAAAAAACCATGGTAGGGGGATTTTGATAATTTTGAAATAGTTGTCTAAGCTAACTAAAGTAGGTAGGTAAGAAGGTAAAGTTGTGCTACAACCAAATGGCTCATTCAGCCAGAGCTCATCCAGTTTTCTGTTGCATGAAGCAAATAGGAGTATTGCTCCTCCCTACGCATGAAATGTTAGTTCATCAAGGCAACCCTCAGGCTTTTCATTGGCTTTACCTGACAATTCAACAGTACCCATTTCTACTCCTGAGTAGAGAGAAGCACTGTAGGAGTGTCATGTCCAACAACACAACACACAATGACCTCCCTAAGTTTCAAACTGGGACTTATTGAACCCTGACTCTCCAACACAAAGTCTAGATCATTAATGGTTAACCCTTTCACTTGCAGATCAAATTTGTCATTTTCTTTACTGTCAACCATATAATTCTTACAGTGTTAGTTCAGAGATTTTAGTATTGGATCAACTGATTATCCCAAAATTGGAAGAAGTGGTAAAAGGTAAAGTTACCCACAAGTAACCATAGATCAGTCTACATTTGAGCAGCTGATCATGACAAAAAAATTTATTGAAACAATAACCTCAAACCTTCTCTTTTCAGCTGACTCAGGTTCAGTGCTGCTCCTGTACCACTGTTACTCTGAGATGTCCCTCCTTGTCCACTGTGTTTCCATGAGGCTGTGGCAGACTTTGGCTTCTTCACAGCATTTTTTTCATGAACTGAAAACCTTTCCAAAGCAGCCTGAGTAAAAAAGATGAAACTGCTGGTACATTACAGTATTTTGAATCCAATAATTTGCATGTGCTAGATTTGTGTACACGACAAGGTTCCTTAGTTTTACTCAAAATCCTCAGCTGGGTCCAGATAACCCGACAATTGAATGTAATTACAAAATAACACATCTTTATCTCTTTATATTACCTTCAGAGCAAGACAACTGCAAAAGCTTAGGTTTAGTGATATAAAACAAGGACAAAATGGAAAGAAAAACCCAAAAAGTGACCAAGACTGTTGAGGAGAGAGAAAATTTGTTAAGATTGCTCTCGATAAATTATTCACCTTCAACTAACCTACTGGAAATCATTTCAGAAGACCTTGACAAGGGAAAAAATTCTGACAAACAATATCATCGATTTTTAAGATTCTGTATCAACCTCTGAAATTCCATGTTGACCTTTGAAAAGAAACGGAAGAAATAAAGGCGCGAGTGAGCAAATGAGTTAGTGAAGAGAAAAGAACAAATGTCTGTCTGTCTGTCCTGAAAGCACACTGCCACATTCTTATCCAAGTACAATGTTTTCTCCAAACGCTCGAGTAGAAAATGATTACAAATTTTTTAACTCACCTGCCCAGCTCTCTGTGCATCTGAACTTGGGGTTGTCCGTATTGCAGTTGCAGAGGTGGTTGCTTGCTGTCGGGAAGCTGTGCTGCTGTCATCTGCTAAGGTATGGCCCTCACCTGCTTTCTTGAACTTATAATCTAACTTGGCTTTTTCGAAAAACTTTTTCATATTTAAATCATTGTTTTCAGGCACTGATCATACTAAAAGAATACGAGGATGTACCTGTTAGATGAAACAATACGACATATAAATTAAATTATTCAATAAATTTATATATGGTGTTAAGTCGTTTTTTTAAATAAAGAGAATTTGTCGCTATTTGTGTTACAGCAATCAATGAAAATTAACTAAAAATGGGATAAATCGATCTCGGCTTTCAACAAATTTCGCCTACATCATTCTAGGAAACATGATAATTTAATCCGAGGACCATTTCCAAATGTGTTCAATTCTATTTCTTCTAAGAAATGGTTCAAGTAATATGGTTAAGAATGAAATATCATGGAAGATTAAAACTATTAAAATTTCTACGCTATGTTGAGAAAATATTTGTACAAACCTATTATTTCTACATTGCAGAAAACTTTCAGTTTCTTTCATAGCTGCACTGGTGAGGTGAGGACATCGATGCCTCCTTCTTATTAACCAGCGGTCATTAATTAGCATGCGCAATAAAGCTATTCCCAGTACTCCTTATTTCACAGAAAAACAAGATGGCGGAACAGAAAGGCACGGACATTCTGAATCAAGCGGACAGTATGTGGAAAATGTTGGATGATTTGGCTGATTCAGATCCTGAAGCATACAAGAAGTTTATTGATAAAACTTTGAAGGAGGGATCTACCTATTTTAAGCCACCTGAACCTTGCTTTTGTATCTCTACCACTTTGGTAAGTAAACATTAGAATTGCGCACTAGAGTAAATAACCAAACGAAAATGATTTACATTTAGATCCCTAAGATTAAGTTTTAGAGAAATTTTGAACTTTCATAAGTCCATTAGCACATTCTACCCTTAGATAAACGACAAGATTTGACTGATTGATATGAGATAGCTTGAGTGATAGTGTTGATTCTGTATCTATGAATTTTGAGGACTTCCTACTTTTGAAAATAAATTTAGTCCAAGAAAGCTATTTTTACAGTTTTTTTCATAAATTATGATAGAGATATATTTAATACACTGTAGCAATATCAGAGAAATCGTATGTGGAAACTTTTCACTGCTCTTATCTTTACAATACCTTTACATTCACTCTGTATCAGCTGCTTCCCAGATATTACACATTCTTTAAAGCAACAATTTACACACGCGTCTTGGTTAAAGAAAGAAAGAAAGAGTGATTTCAGAATTTATCAGTCAGTTATCGTGAAGCTATCATCAACCTTTTTTCTTCATCTTACATGTGTCTTTGAAGAAGTTTGAGTTTTTTGTTCCTTAAATTACAGCTTCCAACTGTGATCACTCATGAGCTATTTGTGAACATCTGTGGCTGGGAACAGATGCTTGCTCCAAAATCTGAGAATGATGCAATACCTGTTATGGCTGGTGAAATAAAGGAAGTCAAGGATGGAGAGGCAACATATTCAGTGGTTGATGTAATAGTTCATCCTGTGGTCACTAAGGGTGTCATAAACAGTAAAGATCGTAAGAACCTCCTAGTTCATGTTGCTCTGGACTATTTAGAGAATGCCAAACAAATTCAAGTTTCAAGAAAGTACAAAAACCTCAAAAAGTCTTTTAAGGGTGATCCAAAAACCTTGCGAAAATATTTACGTCAAGGAAGAGAACAAGCATTGAATCCCACCAACTCTGAGGAACAAAGAAAAGGAGTTTCTCAGAGTCCAGAATCTCTTTTAAGACAACTTTCATCAATAACAGTTTCTGAAAGCCAACAAGATGGAAATGACCCAATAGACCTATTTGAGCGATTTGCAGAAAAACCAAAAAAAGTTCTCATCGAGGAAGTATCATCCACTAACACTGTGCCTATGCCAGTAATACCAAGTTATGAAGTTTTGGAGAAGGATGCTGAGGATTCCAAGCCAAAAAGGATCATTGTCAAAGTAAACTTACCAAATATCATTTCATCTTCACAGTGTCAACTAGATGTGTGTGAGGTATGGATTACATTTAAATACTCCTTTTGGCAGGGGGTTGAGAGGGTACTCCTTCCTCCTCCTCCCCCCCCCCTCCCTTCCCTCTTATTTATGTTTGGAATTTTAGGTCATAGTTTTATCCCTCTTGCAGTGATAAAATGTAGGATCCAAAATGTACAACAAATTTACTTGAAAATGTTTTGGAAGATGTTTGAACTTTGAACATCATCTGGTGATAGGTAAACTTTGCATGAGAAGTGATTGATGTTTTTATTCCATAGATATACCTAAGATTAATTTTGTACCAAAAATTGACACAACTACCTTCAAACTTTTATTCTTGTATCGTAACTGCACATTTATATGTACAATTTTGTCCCCATCCTCAATCATGAAATCGCTAACTACTTAATAGAATTTATGAAATACCTTTTTTTCAGTATTTTTTTACCTTTTTTTTCCTAGAGTGAAATTTCACTAGATTCCCCCGGAGTGTACAACCTTCACATCAAGCTACCACAGAAAATTGATCCTGAAAGAACTGATGCCACTTTCAACACCAACTCACACAAATTAATTGTGAAACTTCCAATTCAATCTTGATGTGGACGTTTGTTTTTTACAGATATCACGCTTCAAACGCTCACATGTTAAGTGTTCTATTTATCATTTAAGAATGTATTTAAAAAAAAATGGTGTGTGATTTATATGGATTAAAGCAAAATCAACTCTTGCTTGACTTTTGTGTCTTGTTTATGATACAAATTTCAGTCAGCGACTTTCATCTATGTTTTCCAGAGGTTTTTAGTGAATTTGATGCTTAGTCTCCATGAGTCGGATGAGAGATGTCCAAATTCAACTCTTTGCTGATGTTGGCTCAGCATGTAGCTGTTTTGTTGAGCCCTTCTAAAGTAGAGCGGTTTGGCCTCCTGTTTTCGCTGTTTTGCTGCCTTTATCGAGCATCCCCTTTTGGGCCTAGAGAGGCACTGTTAGAGTTCTTATACCCAAGCAGCAGGATATTACTTTTTTCTCAATTAAGCCCGTTGTAGACGTGCATGATACTACTACTCGAAAGTTGAAGACCAGGATATTAAGTATCTTCTGTTTCCTTCTGTTCCTTCTGTTTATAGAGCCATTGACATCGTTTTTACCAAGATATTAAATTTTTTATTGAAGATTTATAGTTTGCTTATGTACTTCAAGTGTTCATTATTTCAACCAGGAATGTTTTCATAAAAATGAAATGAAAATGACCGCTTGTATGAGGAGATTCGTGCACGCAAACATACATGGGGAGGTAACAAACCGCACGCGCACGGATCGCGTTCCACGCACTATTAAAACGCGGGTTAAGGGCGCAGAGCCTGATTCATGATCAATCTTAGTTTCTTTGGAGCTAATAGTAGAATTAGGGATTATCGCAAGTTCCCACTGCGTGATGGAACCCCCGTTAACGATATGTGATTAACTCAGACAATAACCGTCATTAAAAATGGCATATCATCTATTGAAATCAATACTTTTTGCATTTTTCTTCATAGCCTGAGTGTAGATCACAAACGTCTTTTTCTTTTGTCTATTCATTGATTTTATTCAAACGACCTTAATTGCAGTAAAAATGTTTGCGTGCGCCGTGCAATGTTACGTAATGTAGCTAGTATTTAACTTGTTTTCGTCGTAGTTGATAGTTTTGCTTAGAAAGTTCACTTGCGCTCATTTATATCTCATATCATATTGCTTCGTATCGCAATATGAGCAGTCTTTTCGCCGTTCGGCAGCAAGTCATTATTTCAGCATCGCAACAAATGTGAGTTATGGTATTTTTGTTTTGTCCTTTTCGTTGTAATTTCCTAAGTGTATTTAGTTTTAGCGTATTGTTTTAATTTAAATTGTAACAGGTTTTCGTTCGTCATTTTGTTTACAGTTTTAACCGGTTCTACCAACTAGTACTTGAGTTGTTGCAACTGAATAAATCATTGAGGCCGCGTTGAATTTAAAACTGTCTATTTATTGCTGAAGTCGCCCATGGCAGCTATAATGAGGCATTCGTTGTTGTTGTTTTTTATGTCGCGTAAACCCAGAATTTTCTCTCTATTTTTTCTACGTTTAGCGGTTTTTTTTTTGCCTTTCGAGCGGAGACGTACGTCACTACATTTTCGTACCATATGTTTCCAAATTATGTCTTTGACATGTCTGATATTTTTTTGAGACATGTTTCATTGCACGACGTAATTAAGAGCAAGCATTCCTTAACGGTGCAAACACTTAACGGTGCAGACATTTACTGTCCCTAAGTTACAAAGGAAAGAAAAGAAAATATATTCTCTTCTCAATGAGGTGAAGATATCACCCCTGGTACCAAAAGGGACTCGGGTGTTCTCTCTACATAGCGTATTACTTCTGATATCTAAGTTTTAGCAAACTCAGCTCAGCAATAAAGCAGTATGGTACCCTAGAGTCCGCTATCTACGCTTGATGGAGACTCTTCCGTGAAATAAACGATTTTATTTTAAAAAAACGCTGTTTGTACATTCATTTACTGATCCAATTACAGCAGTGACCTTTAGCACATTATCTATAAAATTGAAGGGATTGCTTGAGAATGGCCCGATTTATACTAGAGACGGATCATCCGTCATACGGATAATCCGTCCAAGTATAAATCCGAAGACGAATTTTGACGAATAATCTGTCTAGATATAAATCGTTCGCGAGTTTCACGACGGGTGTCTCGGTTTTGAGCCGAGTGGAAGCCTGGCGAGAGCTTGAATATGGCGGCTCTCGTAGCCTTGTTGATGAAATCGAGAAGAACAGCATTGGATATGGCGGTATATCAGAGAAGAATATCCTCTGTCAAGCGCATGTTTGAGCCGGAAAATAGCTTAATGAACTTCATGTTACCCTTTTCTCTCGCTAATCTTGCTCAAGATAGGTAGACAAGAGGAAGTGATTACACCAACGGTGTAATCACTTCCTCTGTATTGTGGGTCATATATAACTTCTGCAAAGACGTCCGTGTCTTGATCTGTCCAAGTCAACTTCTTGTTTGCTTTCTCCTTCTTTTTTGTGATTGCTTTCGAGGGCACGATTACTTTACCGGACGCCATCTTGAAATAGGCATCCCAGGAAACCTTGCAAAACTATAGAAACCAGTCTCTCTCATATGGGAACTTCGTCAAAAACCGTCTTCGTTTTCCGTCTAGATAAAAATTTAGAGACGGATGATCCGTCTAAGACGAGCTATCCGTCTGTTAGCACGTCTTGAAGACGTGCTGACAGACGGATCAGCCTGAGACGAATTTTGCTCCATAATTCGTCTTAGTACCGAATTTATATTTAGACGAGTTATCCGTCTGAGACGGATGATTCGTCTCTGACGGGTAACTCGTCTCTGGTATAAATTCGGCCGATGATTTGGGGCAAAGATAATATGAAGCTCACCCTAGGCCTAAAGGTCTGCTGCGGTCCGCCACACTGATCTGCAGATCAGTGTTGCGTGTGTGGAAACTCTGCAAATTTTAAATTTGCTTAGCAATTAAGAAAAAAATGTAAATATGCAAAGATGTCTTATTAAAATGTCAAAAAAGTAACTTGGGAAACACATGGTACGATAATGTAGTGACGCACATCTCCGTCGGAAAGGAAAATAAACTTAAGCGTAAAAAAATTAATAAATAAAGGGAAAATAGTGGGTCTACTCGATAAAAAAATCGATGAATGTCTCAGGCTATGAGGAAAAATGCAAAAAAGTTTTGATTTCAATGGATGATATGCCATTTTTAATGACGGTTATTGTTGGAGTTAAACACATATCGTTGACGGGGCTCCATCATGCAGTGGAAACTTGTGATAATCCCTCATTCTACTATTACCTCCAAAAAGACTGAGATTGAATCATGAGTCAGGCTCTGTGCCCTTAATCCGCGTTTTAGTAGTGCGCGGAACTCGATCCGTGCGTGTGCGGTCAGCCACCTCCCAGTGTATGTCTGCGTGCACGAAACCTTTATAAAAGCGGACATTTTCATTTCACTTTTTTTAAAAGATTCAATGTTTTTATTTGTCTTTCGCTTTCAATGGAAAGTTGTGTTTCAACTCGCATTTGAAGGACATATGCAAACTCTAAATTTTAAATAACGGAAATTTAATATCTTGGTAAAAACGATTTCAATGGCTCTATAAACAGAAGGAACAGAAGGAAACAGAAGATAATGCTTAATATCCTGATATAAACGATATCAATGGCTCTATAAACAGAAGGAAACAGAAGATAGTGCTTTTTCATAAAGGCCTTGATTTCTATTATTGCTTCGCATATCATGAAGTGAAATGAAATTGATCATAAAGCTTTAGGAGAAAAAAGGAAAATGAATACCGTTGATCACTCAGACTGAAAGAGCGTATTAAATTCGTTGCCAATGTTGAGTTAGAAGATTTTTATAACACTCACTGTTCAGTTGAAACTTCTTTATTTCCTTTCCTAAAACTCAATACAACGAGCCAGCTCGGGGACTTACTCTACTCTCTAAGAAAGTGTTGGTCTCTAGCTTGTAAAGTGACAGTTAGCAAGACGTCAATATTTGACCAACATCACTATTTCTCTCATCACTAGCAAATTATGTTGAATTACGTTAAACGATTCCCGCATACTAAGTATGTACCTTTGGTTTGTTGATTCTTTCCTAAACGAATTTCTACCTTAAATTTCATAGTTTTACGGTTAAGATCGGCCAAAATAAAAACAAGATCGATAATATAAAAATTATAGAGGACCCATCGCGTAGACACAGGCGTCACGAGAAAAAGCAAACGATTAATTCACGAAGCGTCACGCGTTGTGTGACTAGGTGTTAAGTTGCGAGAGGAACCGTTAAGAATTTGAACGTATTATAAGGAATAGTATGGGGAACCAAATATGGTCGATTTACTCAAACAAATATTTCAAAATATGAACATTTTACACGAAAAATCACTAGAATTTATTTACATCTTGTGTGTCCGTTATGATTTCCGGCGTTCTCTGCCGTTTTAAGCTTGTTTTGCCATCACTGTTATTCCTGTTAATCGTCTTCTAACAACGGTTCCTCTTGTAACTTAACACCGAGTCACACAACGCGTGACGCTTGCACAGAGTAATCGTTTGCTTTTTCTCGAGACGTGAGCTTGGAACGCCTGTGACTAGCATTACACTTAAAAAGATAACTTGAGAGAAAAACCATAAAGGTTTAACACTGTCGATTGACACCAAAACCTATGATTGATATTTAGCACTATCGATCTGCCTTAGATCACAAGCGATTTATAGCTAGCCCTTTTAATTGGAGTTTTACAACAGCGTTTGATGCAACAACACGAGCGATCGAGGTTCAACACTAATGATTTTAGAACGAAACTAAATTGATTTACAAATACGATTTGCTGTTAGCACTAACGATCGAGTTTTATCACTAGTGATTGTTATTTTCGCCCTAACTATTGATTCTTGTCACTAGCGGTTATAATTTTAGCACCAACTATTGAGTTTTATCACTAGCGACTGATATTTTTGGCACAAATGGCTCCCCAAACAAATTACTCTCTTATTCATCAAGCGGATTATCATAATTGAAATACATCTTACCGCAAGATAATTATAATATTACACCGAAAGTTTCAATTACCGTAGAAACTGAACATCTGGTTTCATGTCAAATCCGTGATAGGAGAATATGCCATAATCATTAAGACTGACTATTTTCTTCCAGAGGAATAGATAACAATTACTCTACCTAAAAAGTAACACCGTCGTCGAAATAGGAAATTATTAACTGCTTACTATATTTTTTCACTGCGTGGCTTATACTAATATGCTATTTCTATTCATATTCCCAACACCAAGATAAGGAAGCTCCTATAATGCTTCTAGATAAGACATGCTTTAATTTTATCGTTTAACAAATTCTCCCTACTTAGACGGATCTGCCCCCAGCTCCAATTAAACGGAGTGACATGCTTTATTATTGAGATACATGCTAAAAATATAAAGGCCTAATGGTATAAAGAAGTGAACTTGCGCACTTTCCTTTATCAGTCGAATCATTCAGGTACTCAACGCCTGGGTAAGTTCTCCCTGTATTTCTTTTTGGTGTTAAGGATATCTAATCACTTTGGTTATCTGTGCCATCTTTATGGCTGTTTTTTAAGGATGTTTTTTTCACTCTGACAACGGGCTAACGCTCTAAACGTCAGCTTCGAAACTCTTTACGGTGGCCAATTTACGTTATTAACTCAGTTAATAATACCAAATTACTCTGTTTTACTCTCCCACCTACATAGCACCACAGTTTCTTTACAAACTTACGCCCTCTTCATGTGCCATCTTTTAGTTCATTATTGGCCTGGAGGTTTGGAAATTAGTTTTAATTTGACGCTGAAATTGGCATCTAGCAGTTGGAACTGATCTGAGCTAAAGATTATTGTGGATGTTTTTTCTTGTTCATGGCGTGAAAGAAGTGGTGAACGAACTCTGTCAAAAAAATAAGGGTCGACCATATGTTAATTTCTTCGTTTCGTTTTGGTTTTTTCATTTCACATATTTCGCATGTCTTCTCTAAGATGTCTTTAACTCTCGAGTAGTAGTATCATGCTCGTCTACAACTCGCTTGATTGCGAAAAAAAAAAGGGCCAACAACCATGGTGCACAAAGCCGCGAAGATTTCCCCAGATGCTTTCTAATGAAAGCCTCAAAAATTACTATGCATGCGCAATAGGAGAGGATAAGAAATTCTCACAACTCATTTCTAAGTCACAAATAGGGCTTCCCCGTCTTTAGATTTCCTTTAGAAATGGAACAAGCTTGGGATCAAAGGAAAAACGCTGGCCTGACCGTTTCGCAGTCAATCGCATACATTGTACTTCGCCATCTCTTCAGTTTCGTACCCAAATTAAGTTTGTGCTATATTTATTGATTTATATTTCCCTTTTTATTACGTTCACATCAAATTTATACACTCCACAAAAAATGACGATGGCTGCCCTGGAAAGATCCAAAGATACTAAGTTATCTTAAATACCTAAGATGGACTTACGAAGACATAACATCTTCACCTCGTTTTCATTTTCGTTACCTTTTCTTCCGCACTACAAGGGTAGCATTTATAGTTTAAATTGTTTAGTTTCTATTTTCTTTTCTTTTGACGTCAGTTTGTATCTCGTATTGATGCGTTTTTTCTGATCGACCGTTTCTTTCGGAAAAACAACAAAAGGGGCTTTTTTCGAAAGAAAGGCCGTTATGCAATAGAAACGTATTCACCCACGCGTTTCAATGAGATAAGTTACCGTTGCTATTGCGACCAAACAGCGAGGCACTGTAACTATCATGCTAGCCAATTTGCATCTGATATAAAGGAGATGCCATGCAACCTCTCGAGTTGATAGAATTAGCTGCTTTGACATTAGAGTTTAAGATGTCTCTACTGTGTTGTTGCCATTACCGTCGCCGTCGTGGGTTCAAGTCCCTGTAATCAGTAATTACAGCTCTCATACCTTTCTGCCATTGTTCATTATTTGAAAGCTTTAAGAATGCACGACATTTCTACCTCGAAAAATCCAGTCTTAATTTTTGCAGTATGTCGTCGTAATTCAACCCCGTTGATTTTGTCCTTCACGTTACTCTCATAATAATTCCGTCGGATATTTAATACAGCTTAATGTTTTTGTAATCCCAAAGGATGATAAGTGGAAAACAAACAAACAAACCAAAATACTATAAGGTAAAATGGAAAAAACTCTCATCCTGACTTTCGACTTAAAATGATTATGGACTCCAGAAAAAACATGCCACTGATGGCCGTTGTAAAATGCTAATGCAAATGATTCATATAACGCGGCTATATGTCCCTTCCTCAACGTACCTTAGACAGAGATTAAAAAGTCTCTTGAATTTCAACTTTTCGAACGTTGAACAACTCCGCTCAATAATTTGCATAGATCTTCAGGAGGAAAGGAACACTCTGTCTCGATCGCTGACTTTGTTCTCGACGAATCCTCTACAATTGATTCTCTACACAGAACTTTTCAAGTCAGTCTTTTTGTTATGGGTTAATTTGAGTCGGTTATTCAGTGGAAGTGTTAGACGAGAACAATGGATCCGTGAGGTGTAATGAGAGGTTGGCAGTTTCTCCGGCAACCACATGCATGAGTTTAGAATTTCGTCCTTTTAAAAACGTGCCTTACGAGTGTGTGTTGGAACAAAGGAAGGCGCAAGTGATTTCATCTGAAGGCTTAAAATGCTCTAATCAAATTTGAACAACTTTAAGCGGAAAATATGGAATGGGAGCTTACTAAAGTACCCGAGCTTAGAAATGACAAACATGAAAACAATTTTGACGCCATAATTGTCTTGAAAACCAACATTTTCTTCATAAATTTACCCGTCTTTATTTCAGTACGAAACATTTAGAATTCAAGAGAGATTTCCACAACTGTTGAGTAATTTTTTCCGTTCTATAAACAATGAAACAGCAACTCAACGATAGTAAGTTGATTTTGTGTTTCCGTTGTTATTTCTTCAGGAAAAGATGAATCCACTGATTGCAAAGATTGTCCACCTCATTCAAGTACTTCTTCCTTATGTGAAGTATTGGTGGAAGCTTCCGGTCGTGCTCGCTATGGTTTACCAATTGAATCAACGAGATTTTATGTTTAGAAACAATTTATTCGACAGCTACTCTCTGGAAAAAATGGGACCGAAGTATGACTGTCAGGACCCCTTGATAGGTAAAAATGTAGTATACACATGGATGAATTACTGACCCAGCTTGAAACAAGAAAGATACACCCATGAAAAATGCGGGAGTTTCGTCTGCCTTAAATGGTTACTGTAGTGTATGAAGATGCTTATGTCGCAAGGTGCAGTTGAATAGTGCCTTTCTTCTTGCCCAGGAGACAAGAGGGAAGAACTCTAGCGGGGAAATGAATGACAGACCCGTGGAAACTCGTTAACCCTTACGGGTACCGGACAGGTTGTATGAGTTTCTGAAATCTTAATTACTCTGGGGGATCTAGCTGTAGGGAAACATCCCATCCAGGATTGGTGAACACACCCCAAGTCGTCTAAAGCAATAGAAAGCGGAGATGAACGCCGGACGTTATTGGGTACTTCACTTCTGAGACGCAACCTTAATTCTGTTTCCTAAGTCAGTAGGGTCACAGTTCTGAACGTTCTGCAGCACTTCCGTTCTATGTAGACCTATCATTACAAACCTATGTTAAATTACTAAATCATCTTAGGGGGATTCAGAAAAGAGTTCACATTTCCTTTGAAAACTATTGCAGGTCATATATCCCTGGGCTGTGTCACCAAAAAGCCTTTTCTATATTTGCACCAAAAGGATGGACTCGACATTGAAGAGTGTGTGAACCACTGTAAAGATAAAAGATACGCTTATGCAGGCTTTGATCACTATCGAAAGTGTTTTTGTGGTGATAAAATCTTGAAATATGTGGAATGTAAGAAGGGCAAGTCTGGATGTGGTAAATCTTCTCAGATTGAAATCTTCAGAACAAGTAAGATAAAATTATTTGTCATTTGAGTTGTAGAGGAAAGGGTGGGTCGAAAGACCTTTAAGGGAATCACATTGGTGACAACACTCGCTTCACATTGTTGTGGGTCGGGTTCGCCATTCACGCACGACAACGTGACAAATTATGGATGGCTAAGTTCCTTTCGTCTCCTTGCCGTGTAATGTTTTAGTAAGAATGATACAAATAGAACTTAGCAGTGAGACATCTTCAGAGTGAAAGCCTACGTCAATCTCTTTGTTTCTTTTTGTCTGTTATCTAGCAGTGTCTTATTTACCGTAGTGCCATTCAAATACATTTATATTTTCTCGCTGAAAGTTATGGAGATTTCCTTGGAAAATTTCTCTCTAATTTGCGTATAGTTGTTTGAAGATGATACTGATAGAAGACTTAAGTGAACGGTTTTCTTAAAAATAAATAAACCGGGCTTCAAAATGTGGCGAGACAAAGATATACACTAGCAAGAATGTATACCTTACTTAAGTTCAAACGAATAACTGTTACCGACCTTTCCTCCTAGTGTTCTGTACAGAGGAAATGAAATCAGTAAGGACCCATGACGGAACCTGTAATGACCTGAATCATCCGGCTTCGGGAAGCAGGTATTACCGGTTTGGTAGAAACATAAATCGCACGAAGACGTTTGAGGACAAACACCTATTTGAACCGTCCCCAAGAGAGTTGAGCAAAAGGTAGGTCAATGGAGTAATTAATTCAGCCTATACTAAGGGTGTAGTTCTTGCGATTTTAGAACAATTTTTCACTGAGTACTCATCCTGGGTACCGCACAGGAGGAATTTGCTTGACTAGGCTGGAGGCCAGGTACCCTTCCAACTGCAAAATTAGCAACACTCACGTCTTATTCTCCAACTTTTTCTCTCTCTTTAAGAGGTTTGCTAATTAAACTTTTTAGATGAAGATGGTCTCCTACCAATCGATACGAAAACTGGCATTGATATTGCTGGTGCGTTTGTAATTAAATTTTGCAACGTTACTTGAGGGAAAATAGCATTATTTGTATAGAGGCTTTTTTTGGCTAAAATTGCATTGACGTGGATGGTATGCGATATTATTTTCTTTAAGTTTACACTGATTTTAAAGATCGCTCTGAACTTGTTTCACCGGGATGGATATAGATTAATAACTTGACAAATAAACATTTTCTTTTTCCGTGGCAATCATGATTACATTAAGCTTTTGCTTTGACGACACTTGATCGAAATAATCTCTCCCTTTGTGTATCTCCGGAGGATAAGATGACAACCCTCTGTAAGGGTGACAAGAAGGAGTCTTAGTATGGTCGTTTACTTACCAAAGATTTGTTGATTTGCTAACTGTTTCAAAGCATTTTATTCTTATTGTAAATTCAGGTTGATGGCCAGAGACAAATTTATTCCCGCCACGACGTTGAACCTGTTGACCGTAGGCTTTTTACAGATGATGCTCCACGACTGGTTTGACCACGGACCGGTAGATACATCACGCAGAATAAAGATCAAACTCGACAAAGACGATCCCGATTATCAGAAATTCAAAGGAGAAATGAAAATTCCACGAACTAAAGAGGACAACTGCAAGCAATACTCGGTAACATAAACCAGTTGATCATTTTCGTAAGATTAAGAATCCCATTGAGGGTAAGTATTATGACGAAGAAATGACTATTCAGAGTAGTAATTAAGTGACAGAATTCTCGTTTACTCCTCATTTAAAACATTTTTAATCATCTTTGAACTAGGCGTGGAGCAGACATTGAGGACATTGCAAAGAGATCAAGGTCGATGTGAAAAGCTTCCCCGAAATGGCGGCGAATTCCTTTACATATGTGGTCGTATGGTAACGTTTCTCAGTCATTTTGCATGTGACATAGGGTTTTCTACTCTTTTTTTTTGACAGAATAAAGATGGTCCTGCAACCTTTCAGAATGATGTAACACACTGGTGGGACGGATCGCAGTTGTATGGCAGCGATGAACAGACAAGTGAAAAACTACGCAGCTTCAAAGATGGAAAAATGAATGTTTCAGATGAGGATGGCCTCCTGCCAATCGATAAGAAAACTGGCATTGATATTACTGGTGCGTTTGTTAATTAAATTTTAAATGTTGTTTGGAGGAAAATAGCATTTTTTGTGCCAAAGCCTTTTTTTGGGGCGAAAAGTGCGTTTTCGAGGATGGTATGTGATGTAATTTGCTTTCAATTTACATTGATTTTAATGATCGCACTGAACTTGTTTTGCCATGATGGTAGGGATTAATAACTTGATAGATAAATGATCCTCTCAGGAAAAGCGGCATGAAAATAATAAGGCTTCAACGCGGTACAAGCCTGTGTTTCTCAAATTTTTGTTGGGCGCTTCTGACACACGCAATTGCTTAATTGTAGCACAGCTGCGAGGAGTATTTGACTTGAATTTGACTCACAGTTCATTTAGGATTTACAACTGTTGGCGATTTCATTTTAGCATAATAGCTTATTCAGAGCAAGAATTGGAGCATAATTTTCCTGCCTTTTTGTTGGGGACTTCAAATAGCATGTTACCCGTGCGGTCCACGGTCGGTATTTTAACTAAAAGATGTTAATCCTCTTGCTTGTGATCATTAGTTAGCTTATCCCAGAGTATTCACCTATACGACTTGTAATTTCTTAGGTTTTAATCAAAATTGGTGGATCGGTCTCTCTCTTCTGCACAACATATTTACCCGGGAGCACAATTCTATCTGTGACATGTTGAAATCGCATTATCCTCATTGGGACGACCAGACATTGTACAACACTGCCAGGTAGTACCACGATTAACTTAGCAAGCGACTTTTAGAGTAGGCGTGTTTGCTGACATAAGTATTAGGCGTAATTGCCAAACAACAATGGATGTAAGAAAATCAAACATTTTGGCTGGGACTCTCATTAATGTGAGCCTGCGTTTTAAATATAAAAAGATTACAGAATGGATAAACTTCTTCCATCGCCCTCGGCTCAACTTGGTTTGTTATTTGCAATCCGTGTAATTTCTTTCATTCCTGAACCCTTTTCGCTGCTTTTTCATTTCAGTTTTGACAAATTGGTATCCCTACCTAACTTCTTTTAGAGAAAGAATAATCCTGAGTTTCTGAAAAAATACTTGGAGCAACACATAGTTCTTACTTTTTTGTTAAAAATTTTTTCGTGCTCTTTGGCTGAGATCACATGTTAAATAATCCCCATGTAGAAAGATGAAATTAAGACTAAAAGGGTTGCATTGGGTGCAGTAAATCGAATTACACTGATCGGCAGGGAAGTTGCGCAAGCACAACAAAACAAAATAGTGGACAGACTAGAAGAAAACAATATCATTTTATTAAGAATTCGAAGAAGTATGCAGAGAACAAAAGCTCCCGACAAAACACCGATAACTAGCTCAGTGTGGAATTCATGGGCCTCTCAAGGGGTTATGACTAGAAAACAGTAGTGAAAAGAAGGAACTGGAAGCATAACACAAAATTCCCGAGGAGCTTTTCGCAACAGTTCGAAAAAAAGACCCGGAAGATTACAAGCCATGCAGCCTCCGTGCAGTTGTTACTGCCATTAAGCAATGCCAAGGGAAGAAAGAGTAAAGAATTGAAAAGCTCGGAGGACAAAAACAGAGGCAAAGTTTTGCATGCATTTTTTTAACAAGCAATCGCAGGATTTATCTCATGCAATTAGGTAGACATCAGCTCTCGCAAATTTTCCAAACACCGCAGATTGCGCTAACCTTACACCTTAGAGCAGTTTTTTTAAACCTTTTAGAAATTTACTCGTGCAAATTAATTTCAAAATTTTATTAGAAATCATTTAATTACCTTAGCAAATGTGGTGGACGACATATTAACGCCTATTAGTTTCAAATGAAAGCTTTCCATGTTCTTTATATATTTCTTCCTTTTAATTTCTCCCACTGGTTGATCAACGCTGCCGGGCTTCAGAAAATTCACACGGTGGAATGGACCCCAGCTGTCTTAAACAGCTCTGCTCTCCGCAACGGAGTATATTTGAATTTTGACATGCCACTCGAAAAGGAAATTTATGATTGGATGGCTGATCGCAATATCAGTGTATCAGCGAGCGCTGATATACTGAAGCCTCTCGTGGGACAGCCAAGTGAGTACCATGGGGTTCCTTTCTCCTTGACAGAGGAATTTTCAGCAGTGTATCGAATGCACCCATTTCTGCCTGATGATCTATATCTTCGAAATGCCTCAAGTGGTAAGAGGACAGGAAAATCGTACTCACTTCCAGAATTTTCTTTTGCTGGGGCCAGGACCATCGCAAAAGAGAACAGCATGGACGACATTGTGTTTACATTCGGTGTGGAGCATCCAGGCGCACTTCGTCTTCATAACTACCCTATACACCTCAGGAACCTAACGTTACCCAATCATCAGCAAGATGGAGAGGTACAAAAAATCTAAGGGGAAAGTTTTTCGGTAAATAATGGGAAGAAAAAGAAAAAGCCTGGGGTGGGAGTATGAAGGATGGGACAAGAGTTGAATCAATAACTTTATGTATGAAGTAGAAGAACCAAATCAGGCTAATTGTGCTATCATGATAGACTGGAGTCAACAGCAAATGTTAAGTGAAGAACATAAAATTCAAATAAGTTTTTTGTGTGCGTGCGTGTGTGTTGGTTGTTGCTACTGCTGCTGTTTGTTGTTGTTATTTTCTTTTATTTTGCATTTAGTTATTAGAATTATCATGCCAAATCGTGTGTTTTAGGTCTTGCGAAAACGTCAAGTTGATTTTCAACACTATCGATATCTCAGTTGCGTTATTGTATCACCAATGCATGGCAAATAAAGTCAGAGGCAGAATATATAAATTCGTGAAGACGTAACCAGCCTTATTTACCTCTCCTTTTTTCTTGTAAGCTGCTTATTACGATCAAAATAATGTTTGATTTTTACTGTAAAGCCACTATTGCATGAAGGAAGGACGATGAGCCTCAGTGACAGTGAGGATCGTGTCCCCAAAATTTTCCCCCGAATCTTAGTTAGTGAGCGCGGCCTGATTTTAGTACAATTTTCATTTACATTCGTCATCTTTTATCATTTAATAGACAATTGACCTCGCAACAATTGACATATTGCGTGACCGCGAGAGAGGAATCCCACGGTACAATGAATTCAGAAGACTGATAAATCTCCCTCCCGCTGAAACATTTGAAAAGCTTACAAGAAATAAAAAGCACCAGGTGCTACTCAAGGAGCTGTACGACGGCGATATCGAGAAAGTAGACCTGTTGATAGGTTGTCTTGCAGAGGACCCTTTACCAGTTGGGTGGGGTTTTGGTGATACACCTTTCAGAATATTTGTTACTATGGCCACTCGGAGAGTGGAGGCAGACAGGTCAGTGACAGTTAACTTCACAAAGAAACGTCCTTGCTTTGATGTTTGTTCCAAACCTCAGTGAATTAATAAATAAAGATTGTCGCAATTAAGAACACGATACCATTTCATTCATGTGTATGTACTATCCTGTTCGCGAACGAGCCAGACGTTCTGTCAGTAGATTGGCCCCTTTGCGCAATTTTAATCGTGCGTCGAAAGTGACTCAGGATTGCTTTGCTTTCACTGCGCATTTGCATCAGCCCATCAAATAGAAAAATAAAACAAATTGCGACTTGTTCACTTTTTTAAGCACGCTTCATGCAGTTTTCTTATCCTTGCAGTTATGAAGTGTCACTGGTTCATTATTAAATTTTTCATTGTTCATTTTGACCATTGGATAACCTTAGTTTTAGTTTTGCGACACTCAGTGGTAGCACAGAGTGAAAAATGAGGCAGACTTGGGAGACATTTGAAAAACGAGCAAGTCTACTAGCAAGTGGCGAGTTTGTATTAAAATGTGTTCACGATCTCTCATCTGTCTCCACCAAGATCTTAACAAAAGAAATCTGTTCCTACCTTTTAATAATTATTATTGAAATATGCTATCTACTTTGTCACTTTTTCTCCCTGTAAAGCGAAAAGACACGGTGTCCATAATGGTATGTTGCGATATAGGATAGTGACAATGGTATTTATTTTCCAGGTTTATGACGGACAATTTCAACAACGAGACTTACTCGCCCGAAGGCTTGAAGTGGATTAAAGACACAAACATGAGGAAAGTACTTGTACGCGCATTTCCTGAGATGGAATGGCTGAATGCAACCATGGCTAAAACCAAGAACGCCTTTTGGCCTTGGCCTGCGGTACCTGTCGATTCGTTAAAAAAGCGAGAAGTTTGAATGCAACTCAACAAAACAGCTCGGGCTATGTAGAGGGTAGATGAAAAGTTTCTTGTGAGATTTAAGGAACAATAAAGAAGCCATAATGAATTTCCACGAGTTTTTGAGTATTTTTCACTCGTTACATACATCGAATTTTGTTTAGGACTCTACTACGGCTCGGGTAGCAAGAGGCGACTTGATAAATTGCCCTTTCTCCTGGAGAAAATTATATTCTATCACTGCTGATCCCTTAGGATTTTGTTCCCTGAAATTTCAGCGGCTCCCATTTATAAGTTTGGTTGACATTAAAAAATTATTGTTAAACACCATAACTTAAATGGTCTGCACGAAACTCGAGCCCAAACTCTTCGGTCCTTAATCGAACGCGCTAACTGCAAGTTTTGGGTCAGTTTAAAGCAAGTGAATGGAAAGAAGGCTTGAGAAAATACAAAAGTATATCAAGTTAAACAAATTTAGTTCCGTGCCTCGTTTCTAACGACATTTCAATTTTCAGTACTGAAAATTATCGGATACGTCACATTACTAGCTTTGTGACGAAGCAAGACGTAATGTAGGTTACCAGTCTTTTTCAAACGTACACCTAAGAGTACATATATCGAACACTTTCAGTTCATTTTCTAGTTTTTAAGCATCAACTGAACAGAGATGGCAAATGAAGCAATATCGTAACACAGATTAACATACAAGGGGCAGTAACTGTGAACTCCACCAGAAGAGAAGTCTGAGGTCAAAGCAGAAAACACTTAAATGGCCCACCTGTTGATGGGTTTAAAAGTTGAGTGGTTAAAACAGGTCATACCTGCCCTAAGTAAAGTCAACAAGCATTGTATTTTTTTTGTTCGAGGCTGAAATTCTTCCATGAATTCATGGCAGGTACTACATGAGTGTACTTGAGAGAATAAAGAAAATGATCAGTAAAGAGCACGGGTAAATCTTAGACAATAAACTTTGTGCTCGAACCGCAATTATATCGTTTATACGATATCAGATGTCAGTAAATGGATCTTTGCCGTCAGAAGCTGAATCCAGTGTAACAATATTCACGTTATCGAGAATTGTTCATTTAACGTGTTTCACACAAAGAAAAGAATGGACTTCAGGCGTCTCTGCGGGAGATTTTTATTGTGAAATTCGACATCTTCGCTTCGATACCAACGCTGACAACAAAAGGAATACTACAATCAACATCGGCCACGCGATTCACATTGACTTTTGAAGTAAGTTTGGGATAGTAGAGTATCAAAATTAAAAGAGCTCGGCTCATTTTCATCAATTTTTCACCGTTCTGCTTGAAGGCCACTAGAACGCGAATGGGCTCACCGTGCGTAAACAAGAGACCATGGTAGAAGGTGTCTAACCATTACAGACCACTATCGCATGGAACTCTTTATGAGAGAAAAGTTATAATAATATGCGATTTTTAATTTCTATTCCAAGTGAATTCTCAGGCAAATGTCGAATAACTAACAAAAATTTTATTGTTGTGTCAAGTCTAACTTTCAAAAACCGCTTACGAGGAAAATGTACATAATTTAGGCAGAAAAAATTAACGTTATCAGATGGGGAAAAAAACCGTTTTCATGTCCTGTCACGAGCGTGGAATCTCAAGTCAGGCCTTCGGATCTTACGCTCCGATGCTCTACCACTGAGCCACAGAGACTCTGCGGTGAGTTAGTTCATTGCGAGGTCATTGTGCCACACGCTTCCGGCTCGCTGTTAGGATCAATAATGTGGAAAGCATCATGAGTCAGTGTAAATAGAAAAACAAAGTTCAAAGATCTCACGTTTGTTCAGATATCCATGGGATAGGAAATCATGCGTACTACCCTTCATTTCAACTGAGCGACAAACCCACCTGCTGTGAACGAGGAAAATTCCTGTCATCTATCTCACTCTGTACCTTTTTTTATTCTTCTATATCTTTATTTATCCATTGTTTTATCAGAGTGAAAATCACTCGTGGCCTCATGAGTTAGCTTCAGAGGAAAGATGGTATTTATGGAGGTTCCCGCCATTCTCATGCTGTTGGCTGTAAGTGCTCAGCTGTTGGGAACAACAGGTAAGCGGTGGACGGTAAATAATATTTACCACTGAAAAACTTTTTCATCCCATTTAAATACCTCCCCACTTTGAGGTAAAAGCCTATCTAAGAATGATTCAACGGCACTCATCTATTCTAGTCGACAGAAGAGCTTTAGATTTATGATCTCTCTTATTTCCAAATAGAACGCTTTCGCCTAGTCTTATAATTATACAGGGCTCTTGTCCCCTATGGGGCTCTTGTCCATGTATGACTTTGCTCATCAGAGGGCTCCTTGTAAGTTATTTAGTAAAGAAATATACCTCAAAATCAGTTTGAACTGAATGAGGCTCAGATTTCCACAGACGTCGCACTTAGCAAAAATTTGATGTTTTTTGATGTCTGAAACGTTTATTTTATTTTTTTCAATTTATTTTCAGATTCGGTTGAACGATGTAAGCGGTACCCAAACCCAACGCACGGGCGCGTGGTTTGTGATAGCTTGTTTCGTTTGTTTTGTGCTCCCGAGTGTGATGATGGTTTTGTGTTTGAGTCAAAGCCTGCAGTGGTGTACATGTGTGGACCTCTCACCGGAGAGTGGTTCACTTATCCCGAAGGACAAACTATCCCCTGGCCTAATTGTCGGAGAAGAAAAAGGTAAATCAAACCTCAGTGAAAGGTTGAACTAGACAAAGGGAATAAGTATCAGAAGAAACTCTGTTGCTGCGCCGGTGGGACTATATCAAAGTAATTTGGTTGATCTACTAAGTTAATAGTGTAATTTGGACGCCGTAAAAAGTTTCCATAAAATTGAAGTTTCGAGTGTTAGCCCTTTTTTGTTATAAATTTTTGTTAGAGATTATTAAGGATACAAAAAGAAATTTGAATTATTGACAAGGAAGCAAAATTATGGATATTCCATTTGGGCCTGGAAGGTATAAATAGCAATAAACAATGTTCAGGTGTCTTTCGCTTATAATTTATTTAGATTTTCGAGACCAATTTTAGTTAGGTACTCACTTATTCGGTTGGAAAATATTAAATCAATCGCATTCTTGATTTAATATCTACTTGATAGGTCATACTTTTTCAGTCAACACTCTTCTTTTCTCGTTAACAGCCTAGAAAGTACAACAACAAAAGATCTAACGGCCCGCAGAGCGCAGATTGCTGCGAAAATTCATCAGACCTATCAAGCGGTCTTACCAAAGAATCAGCAAATGCAACTTGTGCAGACTGGTCAACAAAACGCCAGGTGAGACTTGCAGTTTTGAAGTATCTCATATCTGCCTCGTTAAGTTTTCCTAACTTCCAAGGGTGAATTCTGAACAAGAGATCTGAAGAAAATGTAATGGTATATGATGAATTTGTTTGTTTTAGTGGTCGGTTAGCTCACTCTCTGTCATTTCTTTTTAGGCTGACGTATTGTCAGAGTTGTTTGCTTTGTCTGCACTAAGCTTAAGTGCTTAAGTGCATCGTTTTAAGGTTTAAAATGAAAAATAGAAAGGATACGAAACATTCCCTTATTTCTTGCTTATCGAACCTTTTTTAAACTATGCAGGAAAATGAGCCGATTTTCCCAGACCATAGCCATCAATAAAAAAACTGGTCCGTTTCGCAGTGAGCTTAACACATTAATCATATATATATATATATATGTATATATAAATGTGGGGGTAGAGTCTATCTTGGCATAAAGTGCTCAATGCTGTCAGTAAGTGAAAGAATCAAAGAGGCTCTGTCTGACGAGCGCTTAGGCGTGAAACTCAGAGTAACAGAGAATCGATGCGTCTTCTTTGATTCTTTCACTTGTATATATATATATGTATTTACATATATATATATTTAACAAATAGATTCCAAGTTGCTGTGCGTCTGTTCAGTAATAGATCACAGATGACGTCAAAATGTGGTAAGAACATTTTGACGTCCTCTGTGATCTATTACTGAACAGATGCACGGCAACTTGGAATCTATTTGTTTTATATAATAAAGAATTAAAAAAAGTTTTAATGATGACGTCATCTATACGTCTGGCCTCCAATAGATCATTAGTGAGAACCAATCAGAATGCGTGCATAACTGAGCTTGTTATATAATATATATATATATATATATATATATATATATATATATATATATATATACATACATATGTATGTATATGTACACATATATATATTCTATCTGTAGGGAAGTGTAACCTGCTTGAAATAAGACTGTTCTCAGCTCTCCACCAGACACTTTGAATTTGATTTTTCCGTAGATACATTCATCTATTTGATTACATTCAGCGTGCCCAGCAGGTATACAGTGATAAACGAGCTCTTCCCACCCTGGGACTTAAAGCCCTAGAAATACAAAAACAGCAGCAGCTAAAAGTACAACAGCAACAAAGACAAAAGCAGCTAGCACGATTCGAACAGCTGAGCCAAAAACAGAAGGACATGCAGCCACAGTTGTCGAGCAAACGATTTTTTACGCCGATGCAAGAATTAAGAAAGCGCTTGGATCAAAGCTCTCCCCAAGAAATGGTGGACAAACAACGCCAACAGCGAGAAGCGTTCGAGTTATTGGATACAAATAATTATAACGTGCAAGGTATGAGTACGGAGAGAATTTCTACGAATCAAAATTTACAAGGAAGTTTTCAACCGAGGGCTGTTTCTAGGTCCAAGACTGTGCCACCAAAACGTGGTACCTCGGTAAGCGTTCTTTATCCAAAAACTCCTCAACAATTTTACCCAAGACCCAGTATTGACAGAAAAATTCCGACAAGTTCCAAAGTCACTACCTTGGCAGCTTCAGAGCTAAACCAGCAGCAAATCAATCCAATATTGGAAACATATTCACCTAAGGGTCTTACCTATACTACACTGATATCATCGGCGGTTGACAGAGAGGTTTTGGATAAAAGTCGAGCGACAGCTACTGAAATCATGCCACGTTTGGCCTCATGGCAAGCTGCCTTGTCTCCTCCATTGCAACGGTCAGAATTTCAAAAAACATCAAAAGCCTTAGACCAAAATCTCAAACATCTGACTTTGCAACCCCTTAAAGATAATCAGAAAAACGTTCATTCACCATTTTCCAACGAAATCACATCCCTTGGAGTTAATATGAAACGTCTCAGCCAATCACAAAACAGAATTCAAGTGCAAGTGGAAAGCCCCGTAGCTGCTCCTCTTAGCAATTCAGGATTTAGCAAAGTATCATCAATACGGAATCAAAATGTCCAAGACGTCAATCTCCAGCCTGTTAAAGTAAACGGCGAAAAAGCCGATTCCTCCATTATTGATGAAACAAAGTCTCTCGGAATTAATGCGAATACTATCAACCAATCACAAGACAGAGTCCTGTCACTTACAAGAAGCCCATCATATGCTTCCTCAAGGAAGGGATCCAATCTACAGTCTTTGCAAAAAACTAAGGGTCCACTCCAGCAGTTCTCAGTTAAACCAGCTACTTTAACTTTACAAGCAAAAAATAGGAGCACGTTGGGTATGCAATTAAGACTTCCGTTAAACATAACGTCACCATTAGCAAAACAAGGATACTTGAAGGATGCAGTAAAAGGTCATCCACATGCAAAATCCGCAAAAAAAGAAAAGTTGTTTTATTTTCCAATCAAAAGAGACACTTTAATAAGTTTGTTACCTATGCATCTTCAAGCGAAATACAGATCTCTTCGTGATACCAGAAATGAAAACTCAACGCAAATAGTATCCCTCAGCAAAAGTAGTGAAAACTCAACAGTAAAAATGGAAGACATAAAATCGCCGGATATTTCACTAAAAAATGGTTTCCATATTTCACAATACAAATACTCCGTTGAACAAATCAAAACAGGAAATGACAGTATAACTGAATATTTTTATTTACCCTCGAAAATAGCCAAAGCCTCTAGCATCAACAGTTCCGTAAACGACCACTACTCCCTCAAGAAAGATTCAGTTGGATCAGAGGACGGGACCGACTAGCTGATTCGTAACAAGATAAAAAGATACGTATACCTCTGTTACATCTACCTTTTCCCGCGCCATGCGAACAAGGAAAAGGATTATAATAAATTTATTGATGAAATCATCGTGTATTCATTGGCCTGGTAATTTCTTGATGAAGCATGAGTCAGACATACAAACTTTGAATTGAAACACAGGAACCTGTTTTCAAGTAGCACATCTGATATGACGATAACAATTACGGTAATCAAAGAGGAACTGGATCAAATCGCTTAAAATGTACTGACCATTGGCTTTTTAATGTAACTGCTCCAATCTGGTGCATATCTATCGCTATCAATGACCTCGGAATTACCCTTTTAAAAGACGTAATATAAACTCCCTACTTATTCAGAAACCTCTCTATATTTTGATTACGTCGCTTTTGAAAAGCGACATACGCGCTTTATTGTGCGGCTTGATTAGCCAGAGGCACGAACTCGCAAATCAGAACATATCAACTTTAGTCTCGGTGAATTGGGAGTGGATCACATAAAAGTAATAACTCATAACCAGGGGAAGCTCCCCTTTCCATCTTATATATTTTTATAACCGAGGTAATGCACCATCCTACAGACCACTCTCAGCATTGCATACCATTTGAGGAACCTAAGGATATGATACGAAGGTTTGTTAAGATCTTTCCACTAAATTTAAATAGGTTCCGGCCTTCCGAGTCGCTTCCTTTAAAAATTAGGTTTCAAGTGATATCTAAGAGGATGCGTGTCTTTGCGAAGCAACCGTGGGAAATCTTTGATAAATTGACGATTTAATTGTTGAACTTTGTTTAAAATGATGACACGTTCAAACCTACTAAACGCTTTTAGCGGGTATTTATTAATATTTTCCTTATTGCAAGTTTTCTTAAAAACGTTAGCGTCAACCTGCAACTAGCAATCTCGAAGAAGTCACTGACATACTCCTTCATTTGCATGAGCGCGTTTTCGAGATTTGGATGAGTTTGTTCTCAACCATTGTCAAATACACCTCATTATGTCCTGGTTAAATAAGCGAACTGCTGGTATCTCCTGTTTACATTATCAGCCTTAAAAAGTCCTTTCCTGTTTTATCTCTCAAAAATAGTTAAGAAAAAGTATAGTTTCTCTATTTCATAGGTGTCTTTTTCTCTTTCAGTTTTTACTGTTAATCCAAACAACATAAGATAATTTACAAGATAATTTTCTTGCTAAATTTACAAGTTTATCTTTGACTCAGGAGGTGATCAGCTCTCGGAAAAAATAGCCACAGACATCATAGGAGTTAACTTTATCTGAATAAAAGTGAATCATGGCTAGTTGACAACTATTCACCGAATTAGCGGTGGCTAGTGGTGGATATTTACCGAGTCGCGAGGCGATGAGGGAAATATCCACCGCTAACCACCGATAGCATAGACTAAAAAAGTGAGATAATATAGCACAAAATGAAGATTTTACTTCATTTATTCTTGCAACCATCACAATATTTTTCGGGTGCAAATCCCGAGTGAGTTGCGTTGAATAACAAGGGATATTCTGAGTTTGAGTGGTCAATCAGAGCGCTTCTTCAGCGATATCCACTTTGTTTAGTACATACTTTTACATGATATGGCTACATGGAAGTAAAAACGGCATGTGGCACAATAGCATACAGATACTTGAGATAGAATGCAGATACAGATACTTGAAATAAAATATCCTATCAACTTGAAACAATTTCATAGCAGCTGACTTCAATGACAAATTTTCTCCATTTTAGTTTCTGTGTGAATCAGATTTTATCTACGGCTGATGAATATCAAAGAGTCATGCTTTGTTGCTGATTTGATCAGCTTTGTTTTGCCGCGATACAAATTTCTTTTCACCTATAAGATTGCAAAGTTAAATGTTTTTACAATTATTGAAAGAAAAGAATCAGTAAACAAAATCTTTTGGAGGTTGTTTAGACAGCCAAACGACGCTAAAAGAAATGAAAAATTCATGTGTAAAAAGCTGCCTGACCTGCGGGCATTCACTGCCCGCATTCCCATTTATGTTTGCTGGGGTATTAGTCATAAATATATTGATACTTGAAACAAGATAAACTTTGATCTCAAAACGTCCAAGCATCATGCTCCGATTGACGTTAATTTTATCTTACATGTTTGCAGTTCTTACGTCGGTGGAAGGTGGGTCATACACATATAATTGCCTTTACCTAAAACGTGACCGTGAAGTGAAAGCTTTCCTACTATGAAAGAGAAAATGATTCAAATAGGGAATGAAAGGCAAAATCAAAAATTGACGATGATGGAGAACATTCATATAGATTCAAATAAAGATTTGACCAACTTAAAGGCCGACCTCCTCAGGCTGTAAGAAACGTGACTTTTATGAAGATGTCCTGTTTTTTTTCTTTAATTTTTTGGAAGCAGGAACCTGCGGTAACCGTCCACGCACACGAATAGTCGGAGGGCGAGAGGCCATAGTGAACTCCTGGCCATGGCAAGCTATGATTACAACTTCCAGAGGAGGACAATTTTGTGGGGGATCATTAGTTCATCCAAACTGGGTCTTGACTGCTGCACATTGTGTGAAATCACGGAAACCAGAGACAACTCGTGTTAGGTGATAACATTTCGCAACTGTGACCAGTTGCCATTTAGCCATGGAGTCGTTTCATCTGTCATAACCGTTACAAACAGCCGTTTTATCTGTCCTAATTTTTGCAAAATATTGTTCGTGCTGCTGAATACATAAAATCATAAAACGCGGGAAGAAAGGCCGATTAAATTTAAAAAAATACATATATATTTCTCATCCCCGTCTTGGAGCTATCTTCACTATTAAATTGTAGACCAGAAAAATATTCGCCCCACCCGTGAGAAAAGATAATGATTCTTCTCTTTTGTGTTCGCTACTTATAGGGGTAGGAATCAAAGGAAAAGATGAAAAGTAAAAAAAAAAAAAGAAAAACAAAAGAATTAACTGATTACGTGTCCTTAGACTATGCAAATAATGTATGTTCAATTAGCGAAATGTGAAATAATAGCTTTTCCTCCTTCCAGTTACATCAAGAGAATATTCTCTTGGTTACATTCATAAACCAATGGATAACAAAAAGTTGAATGGCTCAATTACTTGAGTTTGTCGTTTGCAGAATGGGGGCCCACTCAAAATACAAAAAAGTTGGAACGGAACAAGACATCGATGTGGAAGAAATCATAGTCCACTCTAGCTATAACAAGCCCACAAAGGAAAGCAACGATATCGCTCTATTAAAACTCAAAAAGCCTGCGAAGCTTGGAAAAGGTGTAGGCCTCGTGTGTATGCCAGACCCTGGACTTCCTTTGCCAGTCGATGACGTAAACAGAAAGTGCTGGATAACCGGCTGGGGGCGTTTGTCCGATGGCGGACAATCAGCAACAAACCTAATGCAAGCCGACCTACCTCTCTACTCACATGATCGTTGTAAAGGGATGCTTCATGGCTTTGACGAATCAATGTTGTGTGCTGGTTTCGACGAAGGCGGAGTTGATGCATGCCAAGGAGACAGTGGTGGGCCGCTGGTCTGCGAATACAACGGCAAGTGGTATTTAGAGGGTGCCACAAGCTGGGGATATGGGTGTGCTCGTCCTGGTTATCCTGGAGTATATGCTAAAGTACGTCATTTGATGTCATGGGTACACGATCAGACCCAGGGTGAAGTCATGCGTAAGTCTATCGGCTTATCAATCAATTGTAACTTTATAATCTCTTGAGTGAGAAAAAAAATAAGATCCTTTATTTAAACACGTTGAGAATGAAAGCATCACATGCTTGAGGGGTCGTGTGTATCTGGCCGATACCTAATTTATCTACAAGCAAAAGTGGATTCAATAAATAAAATGAATAAACAAATTTAGATATAAATATATGACAATGTAAAGTGTATCTTTGTAATCTAAGATAAGTTAAAATTGAAAATCGACAATTAAAAATCAAAAAATTAAAAGTCGGGTATTTTTTTCGCTACCGACTGTGTGAATGAGCTGGTAAATCTGATTTCCCTAAATGTGGGATCAGATTTTACCTTTCTATAAAATTACATAGAACTTAAAGAGTCGTTTAAATAGTCAGAGACAAAGTTTGACAAAACAGCGCTTCTATAACAAATAGAATTTTTCATAGAATCGGTGGAAAATCGCGGAATAACGGCCTTATTATGTCTTCTTTGGTTATACAGACTATTTCGCCATACATCTAAATCTCAAACCACTGAGGGTTTACATTATCACTATGTTATGAAATAGTTTAATGTGTAACTCTCTATAGCCATGAGGAAAGGCTACTTTGTCCATCCACTCCGCTTAACAAAACACTTTTTTTATTGTTATGATTTTTGTCTTCTTTCTCTATCAAAGCTTCCAATTTTCACGAGAAGATAATTTGTCAGGACGAGAGAGAGAAAATTAGCTGCAGTGGAAGGAAAATAAAAGTACATTCCGCTTACTACGGAAGAACAAAGTTTTATTTATGCGGAATGGGGCTTAATACAAATTGCAAAGCATCTGGGTCCCAAGGAAAGGTAAATTAAGTGAAAAAAATTGATATCTCTGCAACAAATTAATGTATACCTACCTACACCTTAATCATATGCATTCTTTAAGTCGTGAAGTTAATCAAATTGAGGAAAAAGTACAGTTAGCAATAATGCATCTCGAATAACGATAATAATAATGATAATAATAAAGATAATTGCGATAATCAATATTTAATTATTTTTGGCATAAATAAAGGAAAGATGAAGTGCGATGCTAAACTTTATCAATACCAAGTGGTCATTGGTCATCTAAATAGTTCCTTTCCTTGTCTTAGAAGGTTGGGAAGGTTGGGGATAAAGGGTTCTTGAGAGTGATAGTGCAAGTGCTTTCATCTTGTTATCTTTTTTGCTTTGTTTGGTTGTCTTTGTCTATTGAATTTATTGTAAGCTTAAAGTGGGAAATAGATTAGCATATGAAAAGCCAATGTTTTTTTGATTTTTTTCTCGTTCTAAGATCACTCGAGCTTGCGATGAAAAGGAGTACTGTAATCTTTACGCTTCCAACGATGTATTTGGAAATCCATGTCCAGTGATTTCATCAAAGTACATTTACATCAAATACTCTTGTGAATAAAATGTGGGTAAGAATGGATAGTCCACAATCTGTAATTAAGATTCTTAAATAACTATGATGAAATTAGCTGAACAGCCACCCGTAGCAGCAAAATGGCCTAAATTTAACTTTAAATCAGCCCTAAAAGCCGTTATCCCACCAATTGAGACAGTCATCAGTCAGTATGCCAAACCATCACTTCGTAAGTCATTCATTCCTTCAGTCAGTCAATCATTTTTATTCAAAGGGTTCTTTTTTAATCTATATTTTTTATTTCTTTCAATCAGTGACTGTTTTTAAATACTGATCACCTCAAATATTAAAGGTCTAATGATAACTTTCCATATTTAACACCCAAGAGAAGTTGCTTTTTGCAACGATTTGCTGAGCTTAGCATTTTCAAAGAGAAATGAATGAAAGGCGATGTTTATAAAAGCCAGTCCTCAATTTACTTTTTGCAAGCAACGTTAGATATATTTTATGCGTTACATTCTTTGTTGAATTTTCAGGCCACAATACGCAAGAGGATCGCCATGGAAAGCAAGAATAAGTAAATGGAATTAAGAGCTAAAATTTAGAATTAAAAATTAAAATAATTATGCTGAGTCTTCCTTCTTTTTCGGGTAACATTTGCGTTTAACTTTTGTACAGCTGGGACAGATTATCCATTGACGCTGCTTTGTAACATACTATGTGTCCAAACCATATGACTGGCACACTATCGATCAGACACATACCTAAGTTCTAGCTTCTTCGCACCTTTTTTTTTTATTCCGCTGATTCTCTCAACAGCGGAGGCTTAAGATCATCGATACTCTAAATTCATTGGGGATTTTCTCAGTTTATAACTGGGAAATGCTGTGTTATTTACGCCAAATGCAATGCGAAGGGTTTATTTGGGAACGAAATACAGATAGGAATGTCAAAACTAGGGATTGCTTGTCTGTCAATTCTATCATCTGTATGATAGGGTTATCTTACCCGATATTCAGAAAAATGGTAAGTGATGTCCTTTCTCTTGGCAGTGGTTCATACCATCGACCGAGTCTTCTTTTTTGAAGTTTTGAATTGCGTCTTGTGGGATTAGTAGAAGGGGAAAATTTGTGACAGCGATGAAAAAGAATTTGACCGGCATTTAAACGGCCTGTCAAGAAAAAAACTATAGGAAGTAGGAAAAAATTCTTCGAAACAGTTTTCAGTTCAGAAAAATGAGTAAACTATTTTAGAAAAATCAGTGAAACGTATTTATCAGAAAAATTGGGATGGGAAAAAACTGCTCAAAAGGAAATGAATGCAAATAAAACTAAGATATTTCTACAGTTAAATCGTTGTTTTATTATTTTTTTTCAGCCTGCCGCTCCTCTTCCCCCCCCCTCCCCTCCCGCTCCCGTTTTTGTAAAGTATAGCCATATTGGATGTCGAAGACAATTCAATGGCATCATATGGTCGCATCTTCCTAATTACAACTGTTTTCGACCAAATATTTCTGTCATGCACATCCAAGAAATTAAAACTGAGTACAAGAAACAATTTATCTAAATCAGCTGTTGAATCAAACGCAGCATCGATTTTGCTGGAATGTCCTTTATTGGCCACATGTATCAGGACTGTTAGTAGGTACTCCAGTAAGAATTGTGTTAATTTATTTCAAGTGCCGTTATATCTTATTGTTGTGTTACTTCTTGACCGTGTCATTATTTTGCTTTTTAGAAAAAAGTTTTGGGTTGAAACTTTTTTTTTAGGAGGTGATACCGTTTGTAGTCCTTTTATCTGTTCACCCATTTCCACCTAAAATCAATATTTTATGGAAAATAAAAATTTCCTATCTCCATCATTCAATTGTTCAAAAAGACAAATTTGACTAAAAAGAAAGCGTCCCTGTCAATATCCAATGCACTATTTTTCCTAAAATGTCCATCCCATGTGACCATTATTTCGACACCTAGTCTTCGTCTTAAATCTAACAGTTTCCACTGATGTAACATGTGCGTATGCATATACACGACCTATGAACAAACGATTGCTCATGATTGTGTATGAGGGAAGAAGAACTTAGATTCACAAGCTGCGACCAAACAAACACACAGGCGAAAAATGTTTGTTTTTGATTTAAGACTAAGATTTAAGGCTGGTTAAGATTTCTAGGTTGAGTGCAATCGTTGATTCCACAAATCCTTCTACTTCGCCTATTAACATAATTCAAATAAAAATTTTCACAAATTATGTTTAAGGTCGCTATTTATGCCAACTTCTGCTACCTTGGGTAACATCAATAAGAAAATTGCTGAGCTCTATGATTCTATTTATGTTGAACTAACTCAATAATAGAAATAATTAAAGGGATAAATTGTACGAAATACCGTCGTAGATATTCTTCAGCATGATTTCACGTAAAGATCACGATCAAACCAAGTTTGTTTACGCAATTCTTGTGCGCGCGCTGCCTCGCGTCAGCAAGGAAGACTTAAAAGCGCGCGTTAAAACTGTGTTCAGCCACCTTAAGGCAGCTGCATTTTTTAACATATCCAGGTGCAAATCTAAAGTTCAAGTGACCCTCACCCGTTCTGCCTTTTGCTAACTGGCGTTGCGAAGTTTATCTGACAAAGAACAGTTCATCAGACAGAAAGGATGTATGTTTTCATGTTTTTTTAAAGATTGTGCTTAACATCTACCTTAGCTTTTTCCTTGTTTTCTCATTGGCAGAAATATTGGACAAGATGGCGGCCGCGCGTGCGCATTTCCTCCATAATGGCGTCCAAAAAATATAAGAAACTGTATGGAAATTTGTAAAGATTCCAAAATATAACAATCAGGAGCTTATGGTCCCCTCTTCTCTCGATCGAGACATATTCAGTGCAGATACTGCTATTCATCTAACCTCATAGCAACTCAATAAATAAAAACCACTTACTTCCCAAGCCAGTTCTTTTTCTCACTATTTATTGACCTTACTCGTCATACATTGTCTTAAAACCCGTTTCGCTCGATGCCAAACACCGGACGATTACAGGAAAATGCATCAATGAATTCAACTGCTCTCGATCGAAATGACTGCTATCGAGTTCGAAGCGTGCAAATGACCGATAAAATGGCCATTTCCTCCCCTTCAAAAACTTCCCAACGCGCCTGAATATCCCTTATTTTCTACGTTGAGTGACTCCATGTTGAAAACTAGGACTGAAATGGTTAAACACTAGCAACGCTCAATCTTCAAATCTTCGGCCATATTTGTTTATGTTCTTGCCTGGATATACATTAGTTCTCAGGTCGTTTTCGGGCTAAAAATGTGCCAGGCTTGGCGCGAAAATCTATAACGAGATTAAAATATTGCAGCATCATGTCTGAAATATTAAGTGATTGCGAAAAAAGCGAGCTTGAGTGGAAATTAGCCCTGAGCACTGAGTTCCCTCTCCGTTATGTTAGGCAGCAGACTGCTTAACAATATGAATTTCTTTCCGGCATGGAGATTCCTTAGCCATTGCTTCGCTTATAGAGTGAGATTTGGAAGATACAGGAGCACACATGGATCATAATTCGTTCTGCTTCAAAAATCCCAAAGATTTAATCGCAGTTTTTCTTTCCTTTCCTTTTCTTTTTTCTTTTTTTTTTTTTCACCAAATAAAAAGTCAACGGTGCTCAAATTGTGTGAGCCATGTTAGGACACATGTTTCTTGGGAGAACGAGCGGCGACCAAACTTTCCCTTTCAGTAAACCTCACCAATCTTTTTAAACACCAATTTTATCAGTATATTCTTTGCATACAACTACGGCACGACGCAGTCAACCGCAATATCTATGGTGCATTTGATTGGGAAATCCGTATTTCGGATTTCCGAACAAAATACAAAATCCAGAAACATGATAACATTAACCCACGGACGCCAGAAGACATATTTTTGAAATACGCTGACTAGTTACTGGGTGGCCAAAATTTTGTGTGCTCAATGCATTCCCTTTTTTCCAGCTTTACTTAATTTTTAAAAGCATTGGGGAATTAAAATCTCTTGTTATGCATTTTACAACTTGGAGTCAAAGTTCATCATTTATGTTCTATACACTAATGAATAGTATCAGTGTAGCCCATGAGCGGGCGAGAATTGCTGTAGTTATGGTGAAATAAATCGTTGTTAAGCAAACTGTGTATTATGTTTCTTGTTCACAAGAGGTAAATGTGCTTGTTACAAAAACTAAATAGCTCCGGTTTGTTGTACAAAACTTTTTGGTCCAAAGCCAAGCAAAATGAATTTTTATGTGAAAATCAGAAAGATTTGGAAAGACCAGAGACTGGTGTGATTTAAATGTTAGTTTGTGGACGGAGCTTAAGGGCCAATCCCTCCTGCGCCTCCTTACCTTCCCCCTTCCCCTCCATACTCCCAGCCGCGGCCTTCTTGGGGGGCTATTACTACCCAAAATAACCTTCCCCAAACCGTGCATTTTCCTACCAAAAAAAGAAAAAAACTCATTCGTTGTTATCACCTCGCTCCCCTCCTAGCCTCTTTCAACACCTCTAGATTGTCACAGTATAAAAATCATCGGTCCCTTCGCAATACTTTGCCGATCTAAATTACAAACATTTTAAAAATTTTTTGCTATTTTTGTGTGAGGGAAGTCCAAATCTGCCAGGGTCCAAATCCCCCGAAGGGTCGAAATCTTCTGGGGGATCGAAATCTGCAGTGGGGTCTAAATCCACCAGGGTCCAAATATGCCGGGTGGTTTAAATCCGCCGGGGTCCAAATCTGTGGGGGGGAAGGGGTCAAAAAAGGGGTCAAAAAAATGCTAAGGCTAAAAAGGCGATAAAACTTATTCCGGTTGGAAACGAGATTTGGAATATTCAGTTTGTTAGATTTGGTTACATTTGGTTTACTAGCTACAATTACCCTGGTTGCCAGAGGCTTTCCATGCGCGGTTTCTGGTTTCGGTTAGTCTTTATTTTGATCCGCGCGAAAAGCTTAGGAATGGAGTGCTATTCCTTTGAGGGCGCCGAGCCAATGGCAGGCCTGGTTAAATCTGTTTAGTTCAGATTTTGGACTAGAAAACTTATTGGCTCCTGATGACCACTTACATTTATGGGATTTTAAATCTAACAGACGCTGCAGTCGGTTGCCGAGAGTAGCAACACCACGGAGGCAAACTGTCAGTTGACAGGCGATCAAAGAACCATGTGTGGTCGATTTCGTTATTGCGGTGGCCAAAGCTTTGAAAAATTTTGAGAGTTCCAAGAAATAGTCTGTTCACAGTCTCCTATCTTTCCTTGTAGAAGCCGAGGTCTAACGCAGCATTCGAAGGTCCGCCATGTTGGTTTCTCTAGACGAGCAAAACCTGGGGAGAGAACAAAACTCTCGTGGGCCGGGGCACTCTTCCTGTACCGTTGCACTTGGTATGTACCCTTATTGTAGATATGTCCTCCAACGTAACGTGATACAGTGCCCAATCATATCCTGTGATCTATTGAGCGACACTCGGCTTGGGACTGGTTATGAGACTCCATTGTAGTCCTGTCTTTAAGCAAAAGCACTCATTCAAGGGGGTCGGGATAAGCGGAAAAATTGACCATTATTTTCCGGTAACAACGGATGAGCAGCCTCCAACTGAGTTAAGGAAAACTTGCTATCCGCATGGTCATGGCCAACCAGATCATTAACCTCTCTCACACACATTACTTTCCTTGAAGTTCTATCGTTTCTTCGTTAACGCCATGTGATCGCATCGTTGATATAACCTAAACGTGGAAGAACAACTTGCTGCGTAAATAACAAACCCACTTTCGACCAAAGGATGCTCAGGTTAATCAAGGCCTGGTTCAAAAATGATTTTCGCCCCCAGTGCCCCCCCAGCAAGATTCGCGGAATTCGCGTGGACTGCGCGAGTAACCATAGTTACTTGGAATCAAGATCGCGTAGTTCGTGAACGGGAAAGCACTATATAACATCGTCCTAAACCAGATGAGCCCACGACATATCAGCGGCATCTTGTATGAGTATCCGCAGGTTACAACGTGACTTCCGCTTATTCTTGTTAAAGCGTATTTTACAGTGTACTCATGGAATAGGAAGTGCGTTTGAGCCAGTTTCTGGCAGATTTGAACAGAAAAGCGGGTCTTTTGTTGGAGTGTAATGACATTTTGATCGATGGCGCTGTTAACGAAATGTTTGGCTGGTTCGTAAGTTGTCGACCTGGTTTCGGTCGATCTGATTAATTGACAACACCCCCTAAGGCAATACATATCATCGTCCCAAACCAGATGAGCCCATGACACGTCAGCGGAATCGTAGCGAGAGTCTTCTATTTTTCTGCTCGTTTCCGGCGAATCAAGAGACCGTGACCTGTGTGACTGACGATAAAGCGTCGTATTCTTCAATATTTTATTGCGAAAGTATTCTTCCCATAACTTGTACAAACTAATTTCTGTCTAGATCACATATTTAAGAAAAAATCTAGCCTGTTATAAAGGCGTTAAAAGGAGGATCGACACTTAAATATGACCGGCCCAATAGTTTCGGTCGATGTTATCCTCTGACCTCGCTATCATCGACCAAAAGCAGATTCAGGTCAAAGATCATTTGCATAACTTTGCACTGTAAAATCTTTCGATTGGAACAAACATACAGTTCTTTTCTGTTTGTAATAAATTATCTTTAAGTTTTATTTGACCATGATCTCTTGGTTTTTGTTCAACATCTTATTTGCTACTAATAAATATATTTGCCAAGGGGTGGTCCAGTTAATATTTAACACTCATGCATTTATGTTTTGCGGCTCGCGGGTAAATATTGGCGGGAAATCTAAATGTTTGGTAGAAGAACAAACATGGCTGATAACAGTACACCTTGGGCTTCAAGATGGACCGTACAGTTTGACCCTTATTCCGGGTATGTTAACGATGAAAGCAGCGCTTACGAACTCATAAAACAGTACGAGATAGCTACGACGACACGCTTCACTGTATTTAAACAAACAGGAGGATTTTCAAATTGCAGTAGGCTGGGTAAGTAAGCTCACATGTAAAGATTTACAAAATAAACCATACTGACAGTCAAGTAAAGTGAAGTATAACTTTATTTAGACACTATAGGTATTTAAAGCCAGGGGCGTGTGAAATCGTGTTACTAACATGAAATATAGATAAATCAAAATAAAAAAAGGGATTTAACTTTTTTCCAATAATTATTGATATCTTAAGAATACATGTACTCATCATTATTCTTCGGTTTACACTGGTCAGTTAGACTTTCAAAATTAACATGTAATTAAAATTAAACTTAGCTTCAAGTGTCAATTTACTGTGAGCCTGCAGCAAGAGTTGGCAAGAAATGCTTAATTAATTAAGATCAAGCTTAAAGTGTCAAAACCCTACTCAGTGCTATTGACACACAGCTGCCAGCATCCCCATCCATTACACCAGTCCTTGGGCTACATCTGGGTGGGGCAGGCTTGATTTTGAGGCCCTCCATTTTAAGCACCCATGTGTACATATGTACGTATGTGTTTGTGTAAAAGTATCGTATTGCTAACTTAGCTTGGTTCCTCTTCTCACATAAAAGAAAATACAGATAAAAATGCTAAGAACCACCGTATACAATGGGCTGACTCACAGGAGATGACAGGATGCAGACTAAGTTTTGATGGCATCCCATTCCAAATTGTGGGGGTCAAAGTTTTACAATGCCAAAATGGGCCAGACAGAAATAAGGCACTCAAAAGGAAGTAGGCTCAAAAGAGACTACAAAAAGATGTAAGCATGCATAATAATTAACTAAATAAGAATGTAAACAAGATGATATTATTACTTAAGGACTCCCAAAGAGGATATCATATATAGGGCATTACATAGTTATTGATTTACCTTCACCTATTTGCTCTTAAGCTAACAAGGTGGTAAGTCCCAACTGATTTTTCTAAGCAAGTTGGTGAGCACTCAACTCTCCCTCAGGGCTAATAGCAGGCAATAATGTTTTCTTTTTTACCACTTGCAAGTAAAAGGACATATCACATTTTATTTGTTAAAATAAGCAAAGTCGCAAAAAGGACCACTGTGACTGCAGTTTACAAGGTAGGAATCAAGTACTATTTTAAAGGATACTTTTCATTACTTCTAAGTTTATTGATAACTTGACTATTCCCATATGACTGCTCTATCTAACAATCCAATAAATCTATTTGGTTTCAGAAGGAGAATGCTGATCACTGCTATAACAACACCAAACAGCGCTTTATAGTACAGGATACGAAGAAATGTGACTGTCCAGCAAAGATCCACCTAAGGAAAATAATCAAGTATCCTGAAAATAAGGTCAGTTTATTTTAATTATTGAATAAGGGTTCAGGGGGGCACTACCATTAACATGAATGATCACTAGCCTAATAAAGGGCGCTTAATCCTAATGGGCCTTGTGCTACATGTAGGTGAAGTGGACATATGATAAGACAACCTGGACATTTCGTTGTGCAGAATTGAAACAAATTTACCTGAAATGGAAACAGAGTGAATATTTTAGAAACCAATTTTTCAAATATTATTTTAATTAAAACATTGTATCGTTAGATTTCAGAGAACACAAAGAGTAGAAGGAGACAATGTCAAAATTTCTGAGAACATCCCTAGAGTCAGAAAAGAAGCAAACAATAGCTATAGAGGAGCGTATTTACATATTACTTCCTAAACCTACGGATCACTTATTTCACCCCATGGGGAGGGTAAGTACTTGGCCATCAATTAAATTTTTTTTGGAATCAGGAAACTGAAGTTTGGTGGGGAATTTAAGGTGACTTAACTTCACACAGATCATCAGTCTACTGTAGACTGTGCTGCTTCCACTGTCATGTCGAATATATATAAAGAATGAATAAAGATTATACATCACAACAAAAGACCACTAAAATGTACTACATGTAGAGCTTCTTTTAGCTACACTGGCACTCATTCCTCAAACTCAATGTCAAGACTATAATATCACAATTTTGTCAGAGAGGGATTTGCACTGGCACTGTTTTAATGGAATGCTGTCATGGACTTTTTAAATGGATTTTCTTAAAAAATACAGTGTTCAGTACTCTGTAATTATAACATTCTGTAACTATTACTGATGCCGATAGTAATGTTGGTATAATTTGCATTATTATTCATTCAAAATATTTCCCTGTTTCTGAAAGGTTAAAACCACTCACATATTTCATCATAACCAGCTGCTGTTGACCAAATTTGGAAAAAATTTTCTCATATTGAACCAATTATTTTTCCTTGTTCTTGAGTTTGTGGTGCTTTAATATCATGATGAAAATTGCCTGTAAGAATTTCATGGATGATACTTATAGACCCACATTTAATCCATAGGTTATATTCTACAAGTTCAATTGAAATACTTAACATTTAGGAGGAAGCTCAAGCTGAATATTCGAATGTTGACCGTCGGTGTATTGTCATCACACAATCATCTTAAAATTGTGAAATATGTACATCAATTTATTTAATACAAGTTTGAAGGCTTATCATGTGATAAACTTCTGATTAAGTACCTCTTCAGAAATTTCTGTACATATAAGTTTAACACAAATGCAATTAAAATTAATACTTATCTTTCTCGAGTATTTTGATGTCATTGTTCTTCTGCTCACTTGGCAGCTATGAGGCTTAGGTCGATGGTGTGTAGGATTTCCAAGAGGTGTTGCCAATTAATCAGATCGACCGAAACCAGGTCGACAACTTACGAACCAGCCAAACATTTCGTTAACAGCGCCATCGATCAAAATGTCATTACACTCCAACAAAAGACCCGCTTTTCTGTTCAAATCTGCCAGAAACTGGCTCAAACGCACTTCCTATTCCATGAGTACACTGTAAAATACGCTTTAACAAGAATAAGCGGAAGTCACGTTGTAACCTGCGGATACTCATACAAGATGCCGCTGATATGTCGTGGGCTCATCTGGTTTAGGACGATGTTATATAGTGCTTTCCGTACATAACACGTGGAGTTCAATGCCTGAAATGAAACTAACAGATCATCCATCTCTGCTCTGTTTCCCTCGAAATATCCAAAACAATAATTGCCTTCAACAGAAAAGCCATTGAGATGTTCTTTCAAAAAGTCGATCTCTAAATCTCTTAACATTGTTGGCTTTTGGTCTTCATCCATGGCAAAATCTTCCAGGAAAAGCAAACTACAGTGTGAAAACCAAGTTCCTGCCAAATTTGATTGACATTTTTGACAACCGGAAATCATGATACTTTTTTTTCGTCACGCACGTCACGCAGCTAGCTACAAACCATATATATAATTATTCTTGGTGCCTTTCCAAATGCCACTGACTCCCTCTCCGAAGCCTCCATTGTTTATTAAAGCAGTAAAAGATATGAGTTCAATCAACACTTTTGAAAAATTGCTTAAACTGTGAAGTAAATTGTTAACATTTAGGCTTTACAACACGATTGTCCCTGGAACAACAAATTATATGTCTCTATATGAAGTATAAAAGCTGTTTCACTGCTGACCGCTCATATTTAGGTCGTTTTTTCTATCCCCGCTCGTCGCCCGTGATGTAGTAACTCCCAAACGCTGCTTTAGACCTCGGCTAATACACGGAAAAATTGGAGAATGTGAACAGTCTATCCAAGAAAATATTGGAGAGGTTCTAGTAACGTTCAAAAGGGTCGAAAATTTAAGTGATGAGCAAAGTGATGGCGTACGTAATTTTATTCACCGTGAGGATGTCTTGATGGTGTTGCCGACTGGTTTTGGGAAGTCTTAGGGTTATGATTTACATTAGCTCAGGTTGCTTGCGGTTATCCTTCAAGTTAGGGTTATTAGGGTTAGGATTTGTGGCTAAATTTTTCCGGTGTAGAGCAACTGAACGTCATCATGTGTACTATAGGTGGCCTCGGTCGACATATCGGTCGACAGTCGACCGATGCATCGGTCGACTATCGGTCGACTATCGACCGATAGTCGGTCGATAGTCGGTCGATAGTCGACCGATAGTCCACCGATAGTCCACCGACATTCGACCGATGAATTTCCCTTCTTTTAAAGGTTGGAACAATTACCTTACCTTACCTTTTTTGTCGGTGCGAGTCAACCCACTGAAATAAACCAATCATAAGCCCGCAATTTCTTCGAGGAAAAGATATGATTGGTTTACCAAGAGAAAAGACGCCTATTACGCAGTAAAATTACATGTGGAGCAGGGACACTTCCTCTTTCCTGTTGATTACACAACTTTTAAGAAGTTGATTTGGACAGAGCTGATCTCCTCGCAAGGTTTGCTATTTCACTTTACTACACTGAAAGGTAAATGCATATCAGCGCTAGTCTTTATTACGTTTATGGGCGGAGGTGAACTGATGAAACACCCCGGCCTGCAATCGCGTTAGAAACGCCATGTTCGGAAGTAGTATACAAGGTTTCGAAGCTGTCAAACACGCTTTATGCTTGAGCAAGAGAGAAAAAGATCGCCGTTAACATTTGGGGGAAAAGTCATAAAACAGGCTCCAGCTTAATGCCAATTAGAACATGTTTCTCTAACGTGTGCCATGACTCGCACTATAAAGCCCCAAGTTCCACTGGAATATAAGACTTACTTTCACTTTCGGTTCGGTAGCTGCGTAGTATTTCCAAACAACCATAAACCCGAAAGTCTGAAACTCTCTCTTAGAATTTCCAATATCTCAGAATCCCATATCAAAGGTGTAAGCAAATAATTCGCAACCCGCGTTTTGAGCGGGAAATCAAACTGGTGAGGTTGAAGTTGAACAGTAATTATCAGTTGTTTTGCAATTTCTAATCAACTCGCAAAGCAACAATACCGGCAGAGCTAAAGCTTAGTCAACGGGAGGAAATTGTTATAATTCAAGTTCGTGGTTAGTGGGTTTTGAGTGAAAATAGGCTGATAAGAAAGAGACAGAGCGACCGAAAAAAGCAAGAAGTAAAAGGTGTAAATCGAGTCAAGAAAAACGCGCAAGAAAGTTAGAGAGGACACCAAAATAGACAGAATACGGCGAGAGGAACGCGAAAGAGAACAAGAAAAGACATAAATAAAAAGGTGAACATCTAGCGAAGAGCCGGCAACGCGAGAAAGAAATACAAAGACGCTCATGAGAAGAGACTGAAAAGAGGTCATCGACAAAGAGAAGCGAACTACAAAGGATCCGAGAAAGAAGATGAGGTAAGTCGTGTCTTATCTGGGTTTCTCTCACGCTAAGGCCCTGAAAAACTCAAACATTTTTTACCAATCGTCGTTTGATACTAGCTTCAGTTTAAAATTAAAATCACGTGTCGGTAAAACAATGACTTTGGTATTTATCGCCTAAAAACCCTCGCGCCGGTTCGCCGCTCGAATAACAAGGTCAGCATGCAAAGAGAGTCGTGTCCGATATCCCGTGGCTAGTGGATTTTGCGACCGGACTAGTGAAATCTGTGCTTAATTTGCCCGAAGGGTTGGTGAAGATTTTTCGGAGAATTAAAATTACAGAAGTACTGTGAGACAAATGTTTTAAATTCCTAATAAATTCATGCGGACTGAAGGTCGCTCCGACTTAGTGAAAACTTTATAAATAAGGCGAAGTATCACATTACATGTCAGGCATGACATATTGAGATCCCGTGCATAAAGTGCAGATATTGAAAAAAACTTTGGAGGTAAATGTTGCCTGTGACTAATTCTTACTAATTCAGAGAAAGCTGTTTTTCTAAATTTTGCTTCTGATCATTTGCGAGGAACG